AAAAGTAAAAGAAAAGATTCTTTCATTGTTTTACAAACCCTCCCCCAGGTCCCCTCCACCATGCAGCCCTCGCTCTAGTCTCCTGTGATGACAGAAATACCCAGTTACATCTCTCTTTTAGACGGTTCTCTCCCTCCTCTGCTTCAGTGCAGTATACATTATTGAACCCATCTTACTCAGTGGGGATGAGACTGTTTCTGTTTCCCATGCAGCAGCTGGTGGATTCAAACCACGTGCCGTTGGATTTACAGTGTAACTCCTTACCACGAAGCCACCAGAACTCCCACCATAAAGATTGCTATTATTGGCAAGCTCTAGTGGCCTAAGGGCAAGAAGTTGCACTGCAATCTCAGAGGTGCACAGTTCGAATCCACCAGATGCTCTGTTGGAGAAGGAGGAACAATCTCCTCCTCCTGTACCAGTCAGATCTGATTTGATGGTACACACAAAAAATAATGAAATAAAATAAAATTTTTTAAAAAAGATTGCTATTATTGTTGTTATGTGCTGTCAAGTCAGAACCGACTCATAGCTGACCTGCCAGGGAGTTGTCAGAGGCAGTAAATTGCACGAGAGGAGATTGCCCATCCTTCTCCCACGGAGCAGCTGGTGGATTTGACCCACGTGCCTTGGAGATTGCATGTAGCTTCTTACCAGTCTTAGGCCACCAGAGCTCCCTCCGTAAAGATTACACCCATTAAAATCATACCTGTTGCCATTGAATGAATTCTTTCAATAACCATATAAGACAGAGTAGAACTGTCACATAGGTCTTACCAGGCTATAATTGTTAGGAAAACATCCTACCACGTCTTCTCCCTCAGAGTGGCTGATTTCAAAACATTGATCTTTTCGTTTATGATCGAGTGCTTAACCACTGCACCACTAGGGCTGTTTTCCATAAAGCTTATAGTAGCTTAGAGCTTATAGGGAAGTTCTATTCTGCAACATGTGGACTGTTGTAAATTGAAAATCAATTGACTAGCAGCTAACAGCTTCATGCTTGGGGGCATTTCTCCTTCCATAGAGATGTCCTCTAGTGAAGGCCTGAATGTATCCCCAGGCCTACATCAGGCCCTTGATTCTATGCTGTTTCCACAATGGAGCCATGTTGTAGATGGGGAAACAGAAGCCTAACAGAAATTAATCCCCTGTGGACTTCGATTGACAGCTCGGTAGGCACTGTCGAAGATAGTGCCTGACCTCTGAGTTCTTCTCATGTAATTCTCGCAAAGGAGCCTAAGTGGTACAAACAGCAGTCAGCTAACCTGAAGGTTGGCGGTTCAGACCCACCCAGCAGCACTGCGGAAGATAGGCCTGATGATTTACTTCCATAAAGATTAAAACCCACTGTTGTAGAGCCAATTTTGAGTTATGTCAGCCCGGCACTGGTTTTCTGAGGCTGTGAAGCTTCACAAGAGCCTTATCCTTCTCCTACAGAGTGGGGCTGGTAGGTCTGAACTGCAACCTTTTGGCTAGCAGCTCAGGAGCTGGCCCACTACCCCACCAGGGCTCATTTCCATAAAGAGTATAGTTGAGAAGATCCTATAGAGAAGTTCTCTTCTGTTATACATAAGGTCATGATGAGTCAGGATCCCCTAGAAGGCAACAGCGTTTTTTGTTGTATTTTTTCATCTTAATACCATTCATGGAGCTCTCTCTGGTGGCCTAGTGGTAAGAAGCTGCCCTGTAATCCCAAAGGCACAGGGTTGGAACCCACCAGCTGTTCCATGGAATAAGGGTGGGTAATCTCCTCCCATGAGATTAACTGTCTCTGAAAACCAACCTGGGGATCAGCAATGGGTTGGTTCCGACTCAATGTTACATGACAATAACAAAATACCGTTCATGTCAGCCCACGTTTCCTCTTTATTTAACAGATGATACCACTTAGGTTGGAGAGATTCCGTAAGGGGTCAGGCAGAGGGCTGATTCCTGGCTAACCAGACCAAGGCCCTTTCCTATTATACAGGGACAGGATGCCAGGAACCAATTCATCAAACATCTCTCTGCCCTGGTCCAGTGCTGGGAATGACAAAACCTACAGATACTTCCAGCCCAGTAGGAGTTAGAGTTCTGTTGAATAAACAGTTAGGGGTGTGCAAAGGAACTCAGGGACGGTTTCCTGGAAAATAGAGATGTTTGATTCTAACAGGCAGGAAGCGACTTCTGACAGTTATCCAATATGAGAAAAAGCCCTCAGGGGCTTTAGCGCTCAAGGTGGGTCTTAAATGTTAAACTCAGACATTAGTGCCCTATGCATGAGGGTGGGTTGGAGTAGGGTGGGCTGTCAGGCACAGGTGTGTGGCAATGTGATCAGATTTGCTGTGGAGAGATTAAAGCCTAGATACTCCGCCCAAAGTTGAGGCGCTGCTAACGCCCCGCCCCCGCCGTCCACAGCCCTGGCAACGTCCCGCCCCCACCTCCTGCGGCCCTGGCAACGCTCCGCCCTCACCGCCTGCAGCCTTGCAACGTCCCGCCCCTCTGCCCGTGGCCATAGCAACCTCCCGCCCCCCGGCCGCCACGTGGGTTCTGCAGGCCCCGCCCCCTGCAGGCCCCGCCCCCGCGCTCGCTTGACCGGCTCCTGGCGGCTTCCTCCTCATTCTCCCGCCGAGCTGAGCCCCCTCCCAGGGCGAGCGCCGCCCCCTCCCCACCACGGGCCCGTACTCCCGGGCTTGGTCTCGGACGGGGGTTTGGAACTGGGACCTCGCGCCTCCTGGGCCTCCCGGTTCCCGGGCGACGTCGGCGGTGGCGGCGGCACAAAGGGAAGCGGCATGTCCGACCCCAGCTACTGGACGGCGGTGCCGGCGCCTGGTCACCGGAGCCGCCTCGCTAAGGGTGCGCTCCTGCAGCGCTCCAAGAGGTATGAGGGGCAGCAAAGGCATGAAAGTGCCCCAGGGGCAGCAGGAGGGGACCTGGCTGGCCCGCATGCGTGGCAGCAGGGGAAGGGGAGCGTCCTTCTTTTGTGTCCCCCATTTCCCAGGCTGGGGCTCTGGAGTATGGAGTGTCTCTGGGTGCAAGGGTGGGACGAGAATGGTAGCAGCCACTTGGGACTAAATCAGGATTTGAACTCAGTGCTTCGGCGCTGAAAAGAAACAGGAACGCGGTGCTTGGAAAAACTGAGGCAGTTCTCTCTGGATGGGGGGGCATAGTCAGCAGAAATGTTGGTTTAGAAGCAAATACTTTTTGAACAAAGTTGGCGTGGGAGTGGTTATCAGGAGCCTGTAGTCTGCATTTGGGCCCCCTGCTCTTCTTTAAGCCTCAGTTTCCCCATCTGAAAAGCTGAGAGGCACTCAGGGAAAGCTGATTTCAAGTTTCCGCCTAGCCCCAGGCTGTGTGGCCTCAGGCAAAGCCCTAACCTCTCCGTGCTTAGCTTTCTTGATTCTGAGTGGAGAGGGGTGCATCCAAGGCTTTAAAGACTGGAAGCAGAGGCCCGGAGGCCCTAGGCTCTTAGGATGGGAACACTGGAAAAGGCCTGAAGAGTGAAGTTTCATAAAGGGCCTTGAATTCTTGATGGTAGTACTGGGGAGCCACAGAGAATGTTCCAACAGGTCAGGAGTGGGGTACAGGAACCTGACTTCAGACTCTCCTTCTGCCATGTTCTCTCTTGTGTCCCGGGTGCCAATCCAGTGGTTCCTGTCTAGCGGAGCTGGTGGCTCAGCTCAGGGAGGGCTGAGCAAACAGGAGGTGCTCTTTAGATGCTTCGAACGGATGAGGCCCAGTTCCCCTTTGAGACCTCAACTTTGGCTGTGTTTTCAAGAAGGCTCCGCCTGAGAGGCAGAGAGAGGACAACCAGTATTTTTCCCAAATGCTCTGGGAAGCAGCAGGGTTGTGGCGTACAGCGGTGGGATTTAGGAGGTCTTGGGCGAGGGGCCTGATGAAGACGTAAGGGACCCATGAGGGGTTGGCATGCGAAGTGAGGGCAGGAAGTTTTGCAGGAACCTTCAGGTTTCACTTTTGCTTCTTCTGCACCTCAGGCAGGAGGGAGGACAGTCATGTGGCTGTTGACATCAAAGGGCCTCAGTTTCCCCAGCTGAGAATGAGAAGAGCTCTCTTGTCCCTGCCTGTGGAGGTTGTTGTGGCTTAATTCTCCAGGAAGCAGCTGCATTCTTTATCTTCCCTTTAGGAGCCCTACAAGCACTATCTAGAGAAAGACAGGAAGATACATACCCACTATAATTTGCCCAGAGCCACTACTACCCAGAAAAGTTGACATTTTGAACCCAACCAATAGTGTCACGGAAGAAAGGCCAGGCAATCTGCTGTGTAAAGATTACAGCCAAGAAAACCCAATGAGGCGCAATTGGACGCTGTGTGTAACTTTGTTGTCGTTTGAGGTCTACTTGATGATGACAGGTTTGATTTGGTTTTTCAGGCCTAGGGCGGAGCGCAGTCTAGGGTTTGTGTGTATTGGATCTCACCTCCACTCCTCCAGATCTGTTGTTAAATGGTCAGATTTATTCTAACTCACAGCAATACCATGTGGCAAAGAAGAATTGCTCTGTAATTCTAGGCTGACCATTTTGAAACAGATTTCCAGATCTTTTTTCCCCTCTCATGCATCTCTGGGTGGATTCGAACTACCAACCTTTTGGCTAGTAACTGACTTCTAATGATTTGTACCGCCAGGAACTCCTTCCTGCAAGGTCTATGAACGGAAAAACCGAGGCTCATGCAGAGATGCTCTTTCCACCTTTGCCTTTCTGAGTGTCCCCCTCAGGTTGCCTGCTGGCCACTTCCCCTTGGCCAGCACTTCATCCTCTTCCTGGGATGCCCCTGGCTGTTCGCTGGAGCCTCCTGGCCCATGCCTCCCTCCCTGCATGGCGCTTTCACCTCGCAGAGCTGCGTTGGCGGCTCAGGCTGTGTGGGCTGTGCTTGTCGAGCAAGCAGAGTCGTTGCTGGGTAACTGCACTTGGGGTTGGGGGGGAAGGCGGGGACAGTGTGGCTCCCAACTTCCCTTTGGAAAGAGGGCAGGGGGAGAGGCCTGAGGAGGGAAATCTGGGGGAGAACTTCATGCAGGATGGGAAATGTGGTGGCAAAAGCTAGCCAGAGCAGGAAGAAAAAAGAATTCACCGAAGGGTATTAGGTTTAAAGCAATAGGTCGGTCAAATTGGCATTTTCAAGGAGCCTGGGGGCAAGCCTAAGGAGTCCTGGTGGCCTAGCATATTATGCATTGGGCTGCTAATCAGATGGTTGATGGTTTGAGTTCACCAGCCACTCCACAGAGAAAAAGATCAGGCAGCTTCCCGCCCATGCAGATTTACAGCTTCTGAAGCCCGGTGGAGGAATTGGCTTGATGCTTGGGAGCTGGAAGGAGGGAGGCTTGGTTTGGGAGATAAGGAGGTTCCTGGATAGATGGTATATGTGGTTTATATTTAAATATTAAAGGTTAATAGTTCAAGCTCACCCACAGGCACCACAGAGGAGAGGTCTGGCAATCTGTTTTCCTAAAGATTACCATCAAGAAAATCCTATAACGCTGTTCTCCTGTGTAACACACATACATACACAGGTCACAGCATGCCAGAATCAGTGCACAGCAACAAGTTGGGAAATGGATACGTGGCTTAGAGCAAAGGGAAGGATTGGGGATACCCTCAACTCGCTTATAGCTCTGGCGTCTTCTCCACCTGCCAGGGAGCAGTTTTCTGGGGCTCCTGGTAGTTGGTAATGACGCCAGGAGTTCTTAGCTTTGTGCAGCACTTCCACACCCCCCTTCACTGATCACATAGTAATGGTTCAGTGGTGGATTTCTTTTCTCCCGTGCAGGAGACCTATGTTCAAATCCCAGTCAGTGCGCTTCGTGCACAGCCACCCCTGTGTCGTGAGGATCTCCCTGGGGCTTGGAGTCTAAGGACTAGGAAGAAAGGGCTGGCCATCAGCATCCAAAAACTAGCCAATGAAAACCCTCTGTACTGTAATGGTCTGATCACGGGGGTGGCCCTGGACTGGACAGCATCTTCTTTGTTGTGTATGAGGTCACTGCAAGTTGGGGCTGACTCCACAATAGCTAACAAAAGCAGTAGAATTAGCAATAGGTCATGTTTGTCCAGTTCTGGGCCTTGAAGGTGGGGCTAAGGGCGGAGGGGACAGAGTAGGGCCTGGCTTCTAAAGCTAGTCGCACATGGGCTCCCAGGATGGACATCTGGACACCTGAGCCCCAACCTAGTCCAGCCCCTGACCTGCCCCTTCTACACACAGCTGCCGCAGCGGAAACCGAAAAAGCCTGGTTGTAGGAACTCCCTCACCGACCCTCTCTCGGCCCCTGTCACCCTTGTCAGTCCCAACAGGTGAGTTCTAGGGGGCACCAGGTGGGTGGGCGTGGCATCCTGCCCCTGACCCCCTTGACTCTGTTTTCTGCCTTGTCCGCAGCAGGCAGCAGCCCCCTGGACAGTCCCCGAAACTTCTCTGCTACATCCGCCATCAACTTTCCCTTCGCCCGGAGGTGAGTAGTGGCCAGCTTTGGGGGATAGTGAGGGGGCCCACCTGGTGAGGGGACCCTCAGGGATATGTGCTAGGTGTTTGGACCGACTTCTCATTTCCCTTTTCCCCGCCCCTGGGCTCTGCCCACTCATCTCTCCCTCCGGCTCCTGCCCTGGCACGCACTCAACCACCTGCAGCCACCTCTCACGCACGGACAGGTAATGGCCACAGCTTCTGGGGAGGTAGAGGAGCGGGCATCCAGTCGCTTCAAGTACTATTTACTCAACAAAACTCATCCTTTTATGTCACAATAACCTCCGTTTCTCCCTTTCGTGTAACAGCACTTAAATCGTACTTATGTGTTCAGTAACATTTATTGCGTGCCTACTGTATGCCATAGGGAGCTCTGATGGCCTAGTGGTAAAAAGCTGCGCGTTTATCCCAAAAGGCAATTGTTCAAATCCACCAGCTGCTCTGAGAAGGATGAGCGGTCTCCTCCTGTGCAATTAGCTGTCTCTGGAAACCTGCTGGAGGGTCAGCTATGAGTTGGTTCTGACTCAGCAGCACACGGCAACAGTTCTGTGCCGTGTCCTGTGACAGCAGCTGAGCACGTAGCTGGCAGTGGAAGCTCTGAACTCTAAACTCTGGCCCTCTAAAGCTAGTCGCACATGGACTCCCAGGATGGACATCTGGACATCTGAGCCCCAACCCAGTCCAGTCCTAGGGAGTCTTTTCGGTCTAGGGGAGGCAGCCAACATAATGGGGCTGCTAAAACCCAGAATCACAATTTTCCTAGGAGACACAGCAGCAGCTGGGGTCAAGGAGGGCTTCCTGGAGGAGGAGTCTTGCTTCTAACCCTCTTCGCAGCTTTTTCAGACAAGCCCAGAATCCCCCTGGCTCAGTGACCACCACTCCTCTGTGCTGGGGGTGGTGCATGCCTCTGACTGTTCGTGTCCTCCCTTCAGGGCAGACGGCAGAAGATGGTCCCTCGCGTCCCTCCCGTCATCTGGCTATGGAACCAACACACCCAGCTCCACTGTCTCGGTACTTGGAATCCTTCTTTGGCAGGGTGGACAGGCAATGAGGTGGAACCCAACCTCAGCCCTGAAGAAGCCCTAGCCAGGGACTTAGGCATCTCTAGCCTGTGGAGCCAAGGTTGGGCCAGAGGGAGCAGGCATGGAAGGCTTCCTGGAGGAAGAGCCATTGGCACTAGGGTTCTGAGGAATGTATAGGAGTCAGGAAAGATGAAGTTTATTATTGTCTGAGGGGGAGGGACAGGCTTGGAAGGCTTCCTGGAGGAGGGAGACGTTGGAACTGGGGTTTGAGGGTCTCTTAGGAGAGTGAAGCTGAAGGAAGTCAGTATGTGGCTGTGTGAGGGGCTGGCAGCCTGGACTTTGCAGGGTGGAGGGGGCAGCCCGCTGTGATGCTGACAGTGCACCATGGCCCTGCCCCTCAGTCGAGCTCATCCTCCCGGGAGCGCCTCCACCAGCTGCCCTTCCAGCCAACGCCAGACGAGCTGCGCTTCCTGTCCAAGCACTTCCGAAGTTCCGAGAGCGTGGTGGATGAGGAGGGCGGCCGCTCGCCCCGCCTGCGCCCTCGCTCCCGCAGCCTCAGGTGGGCCTGCTGACCCCAGCCCCGGCCCTGCTCTGTACCAGCTTCGGCACCCCCTCTGCTTCTGCTCCCCACTCAGGCTGGACATCAGGCCCTCAGTCACAAGCCAATTCTTTCCTCTTCAGCCCGGGCCGCACGTCGGGGACCTTCGACAATGAGGTAGTCATGATGAACCACGTGTACCGGGAGAGGTTCCCCAAGGTAGGCAGCTGAGGCGGCTGGACCAGCGTCAGCACACCCACATGTCAGCACACCCACATCACTTGCTATCTCCCTATGTGCTACATCTCTATGTCTCTTTGTCCTATGTCCACTTCTGTCTCTACCTTCTTTACTTCTTCTGAGTCCTTTGCCCCCATCTGTCCCTCATTCTGTCTTCCTGACTGTGCCCCACTTGCCCTCATCTGCCTGCCTGTGTTGTGCCCTGGTCTTGTCCTTTGATAGTTACACCCCTGCTCCACCCATCCAGGCTACAGCGCAGATGGAGGGCCGCCTGCAGGAGTTCCTGGCGGCCTTCGCGCCCGACGACGCCCGGCTGGCACTGGCTGACGGTGTGCTGGGCTTCATCCACCACCAGATTGTCGAGCTGGCTCGTGACTGCCTGGCCAAGTCGGGTGAGGCGCTTGTCACCTCCCGCTACTTCCTGGAGATGCAGGAGAAGCTGGAGCGCTTGCTTCTGGATGTGAGTCAGAGGAGTTGAGGGGTCCTGGGCAGGTGGGGTGAGCCGGTGGGAGGGGGTGGGTTTGTGTGTGACACCACCATCTACCTGCCCCCAGGCCCACGAGCGCTCGGACAGCGAGGAGGTGGGCTTTGTGGTCCAACTGGTGCGGAAGTTACTGATCATCATCTCTCGGCCGGCGAGGCTCCTCGAGTGCCTGGTGGGTCCCTTGGCATGTGGTTGCGTAGGGGTCTCCCCAACACTCCCCAGGACCCACGAGATGACTTTCATCATGGAGACCTTAAAGAGGGAAACAGGTTGCTGCTGGCTGGGAGTGGCTTCCTAGAGGTAGAACAGGAAACTGAGCCTTAGACAGAGAGAAGAGTATGCACGTACCAGGAACGGCGTGTGTGAGGAGTTGAGAGCTGGTCAGAGGACCTAGCGTGTACACAGAGGGCACTGAGACCGAGATGCCACAGTGTGTGCAAAGGCCCTGTGGTAGGCTGGTACTGGTGGCCTGCCTGAATGACCTGCCTATTCCCCTAGGAGTTTGACCCAGAGGAGTTTTATCACTTACTGGAGGCAGCTGAGGGCCAAGCACGTGAAGGCCATGGCATCAAGACAGACCTCCCACAATACATCATCGAGCAGCTGGGCCTGACCAAGGACCCTCTTGAAGGTGCGCTGGGGTGGGAATAAGTTTTAGCTATTTTCCAGGTAGGCAGGGAGGGAACTGGGATCCTAACCCAAACCTGCCCTTACGTTCTATCCTTTATCCTTCCGCCACCTCTGGGGCCTGTTGAGGGCAAAATGGACAGAATCCAGCATCTTGAGGTCCAGGAACCTCAAATCAAACCCCCAACTTGCCTGGGCCTTGAAGAACTCATTGTCCTTAAACAAGTTAAGAGGGGCTGGATGCTGGGGACCTTCCATGAGCAGTGCTCCTTCAAGTTCACAAACCTCATCTCAGTGATTAAGGGGCTCAGAGCTGGAGGGGGAGAAGCCATGGGCCAGACAGCCTGGCCAAAGACTCCCCCGTAAGTGACTAGGCCAGGGTGCTGAGGTGCGGTACTTGGAGAGCATCAAACGTGGGCCTGGCCCAGTCTGGGGGTGGTCAGGAGGTGTCTGGGGAAGGCGCTGCTGGAGCAGGAGGAGGAGGTGGCCTGGTGCAGATCTAGGGGTGTGGATGAAATCAGGCAGAGGAATGGCAGGTATAAAGGCCATGTGGTGGGGCCAGAACAGAGAAAGAGGGGTGCTGGAGGGCCAGACACACTATGATTGTAACATCACTGCTGTGAAGTCAAGAATGGTCCTGTCAGCCGCTGTATTTCTTTTCAAGGAGGAAGGCCCCTCTCTCTCTCTGGGACACAACTTTCTAATAAACCTTCCTTTACCTTTTACTTTGGAAAAAAACAAAAAACATAAACCAAAACCCAAAAGTGGAGTTGTTGTCCACATTTAAAATTAAGGAAACTGAGGCTCTATGCACGCAAACCGAGCAAAGCCTCAGAGCCCTCTGCTCCCAAGGTGAGACTGTATGTGGACCAGCTCGGTGGTGACACTGCTTTGCCAAGCCTCAGTTGTCCCACCTGTCAAATGGACATAACATGAGTGGGAAGTGTAGGTAGGTCTAGGCGTAGGTGGGGCAGGAAACAGTGAGGGACTGAGCGTAGAGAAGGGCTAGATTCGAATGCATGACTCCATCATCTGCCGGACTCTGACTCCCCTTCCCACCCTCGCTCCGAGATCGTGAAACACTACCACCTTCATCATCATCATTGCTGCCAGCACAGCTCATGCCCCTTGTTGTTATGTGCCGTCGAGTCGTTTGCGACTCATAGCGACCCTATGTACAACAGCCCTAAACCCTGCTCTATCCTGTGCCAGTCACACTGCCTCTGACACACCCATCCCGATTACCCCAGTCACTGAATCAATCCACCTCATAGAGGGTCTTCCCCTCCTGTGCTGTCCCTCCACCCTCCCAAGCATGACATCCCTCTCCAAGGACCTGTCCCTCCTTACAGCATAGCCAAAGTATGTCAGACAAAGCCCCAGAATCCTTGCTTCCAAGGAGTGGCCCGGTTTAATCCTCTCCAGGATGAATCTGTTTGTTTTCTTGGCAGTCCATGGTACATTCAATACTCCAGCACCACAGCTCAAAGGCATCAATTCTCCTTCTATCCTCCCTAGTCATTGTCCAGCTCTCTGATGCATAACAAGTGACCATGGCCTTTATCAGACTCAACTTAGTCTCCAGAGAGACACCGTTGCTCTTGAGTACTTTCTGCCCCTTAGGGGACAGAAAATAGCAGGACCTCCCCCACCCGAGCTCTGACTTAGATTCAGCAGAACGTTAGGGGTCAAAACCCAAAGGGCCTGAGGCTCAAAGTCAGGCTTTGGTCATGAGTGCCTCCTTTCTAGAAGTTTCCTCGGTTGTTTCTCCATCTAGCCTCCCAGGGCATGACCAAGAGCTGAGCAGAATTATGGGAACTTGGGGAGGGAAGCTTAGGGTCCTCGGCGCAGGACAGATCCTCAGGGGTGATGACCCAAGAGGGCCAGTAACTAACTGATCCTTCCCTTGTCTTACAGAAATGGTGCCTCTGAGTCACCTCGATGGTGTCCAGGCCCCCACACCAGAGTCCCCCGAGGTGAGTATCAGAGCTTTGGGGTCCATCCGCCATTATGTTCTTTCCAGGGTAACTCAGATGACTATCAGAGGGCCCCCAAGTTTGCCCAAGTTTTATATACTAATTGAATAACAAGTCAATGATTATGACTTTGGGGAGGAAATTGGGGTAATAGGATTGCCCTGCAGGGAGTGGGCAGGACAGGACTGGAGGGCGCACAGAGAAGGTTAATTTTGAAGATAGGTAGGCGTTTGCTGGGAGGAAGGGCACAGTTTGGGCAAAAAAAGTCAGAAACCCAAAAGCAGAGTGTGAGCTGATTGCAGGAGAGAATGCTGAGTGCAGTGGCAATTTTGATGGCTGGAAGGGGCACTGGGAAGGCGAATTTGTAGGGACGTGTAGAGATTTGCTAGGAGGAAGAACACAGCTTGAGCCAAAGGTCAGAAGGTTGGCAAAGGTTTGGGGGGTAGTGTTGGGCTCCCAGGTTAGCGATTTGGATTGGCCAGAGTGGGCACAGGGAAGATGAGTTTGAAGCATGTGTAGGAGTTTGTTGGGAGGAAGGGCACAGTTTGGACAAAAGCTGAGAATCTCAGAAAAATTTGAGCCTTTTCTAAAGGGGAGAAGGTAATACCAGGCTCCAGGATCTGTGGTTTGGATCTGGAACCTGGGGGAACCCCAGTGACATCAGCATTAGGACAGAACACTGAGCCTCCTCCTGCCCCTCACAGAACCGGCCACTGGTTGGCTCGTCTCGGAGGAAGCCATGTGAGAATGACTTTGAGACCATTAAGCTTATCAGCAACGGGGCCTATGGGTAAGTGTTCATGTCTTTAACAGACCCATTTCTCAGGTACTCATGGGAATGACTGAGGCTCAAGCTGGTCCCATGTCAGTTCCCACCCTCAGTGAGTGTGCAGGGAACTGAGGCCTGGAGGGGATGCAGAGATTCAACACAGCAGGGAGTGGAGGGGGGCACTCTCTGTCCATGATCAGCATCCTGACTAGCCCAGACAGGTTAGGGGGTGATGACTTAAATCTGGGAGGTGTCTGCTCAGAAGGACTAGGTAAGGAGAGTGGGTGTCCCAGCAGAGGCAGCAGCAAAGGCCTGGTCCGAGGAACTTAGTCAGGGCCCGGGTTCAGCAAGCCCTCTCCCCCGACAGCGCCGTCTACCTGGTTCGGCACCGGGACACGAGGCAGCGCTTTGCCATTAAGAAGATCAACAAGCAGAACTTGATGCTGCGTAACCAGATCCAGCAGGTTTTCGTGGAGCGCGACATCCTCACCTTCGCCGAGAACCCCTTCGTGGTCAGCATGTTCTGCTCCTTCGAGACCCGGCGCCACCTCTGCATGGTCATGGAGTATGTGGAAGGTGCGGGCGCCAGCATCCTGCTGGCATGACCCTAGAGATGGGGTGCTCACCCCCTACCCGGGAGACTATCCTTCAGACTGAACTGGGGTCTGTTTTGACTCCTGCAGGACCCAGACCTGCCATGTGGGACCCCCTGGGAGCCCTCCATCAGGACTGGGAGCCTCTGTGGAGGAGGTGGACCACAAGAGGAAAGGGGGAGTGGTACAGGCAGGGGAAAGTAGAAGGAAGTGAGGATTTGAGAAACTCTTACTGAAAGAAGTATCGCTGGCCAGAGCTAAGTGTTTAGATTTCAGGAACATTCGCAGTAGGATTGGGTCAGGAGAGTCACAGAGGCCGTGATGATGCAGCGGCCATGACCTCCCTACAGATTAGGACACTTTGCACCCAGCTGGCAGTGTGCAGGCCTGGGAAGGGCTCCCCCAACGAGAGCATCCTGTGCCCCCCTCCTTAGGCGGCGACTGCGCCACGCTGCTGAAAAACATGGGCCCGCTGCCTGTGGACATGGCCCGCATGTACTTCGCGGAGACAGTGCTGGCGCTGGAGTATCTGCACAATTACGGCATTGTGCACCGTGACCTCAAGCCTGACAAGTGAGCCCCTCGGAAGGGGATGGGACGTTGAGCAGCTGGGGTGGGCTGGATGGAAGATGGAGCCTTGGGCTGGAACCAGGACCTGTGTGAGGAGGGGAGCCCCCTCGGGCTGGGACAGTGCCTGAGCGGGACGTGGGTTGGAGTGTGGAGCCTGGGGTGTTGGGGCTGGGATGTAGCGTTGAGACCTTAGAGGGTGCACAGGGCGTGGAAGAAGGTTTGGGGTGAAGTCTTGGAATGGGGAGAGTTTAAGGCAGCTAGAGCAGAGCTTCAGGGTAGATCCTAAGAAGGTGTCAGGTGAAAGGGCCCAGGGAAGTTGGGAGTGAGGTCAGGGGTGGGCCTAGGATCCATGTGGTAATTGTGAGAACAGGTGCATGGTCAGGCCAGAACTGGCCATGACTGGACTCAACCACGTCAGCAGAGCTGATATAATCAGCATAAAAGGAAGGAATTAACGTACACCTGCTGTATGTAACAGGCAAGCGTGAACATGTAGCAGTGCTGCCAGGCCTGGGGAAGGGTCTTTTTGAAGTGCTATGGATGCTTCTGTTGTTTGAATAACGTGGCTGTACATAGCAGGTCATTTCCATGTCCCTGTGCACCTGCACATGGAAGCAGGGCGTGCCTCAGTTTCCCCAGCCTGATTACAGCCCTCTCTTCCCCCACAGCCTCCTTATCACTTCTCTGGGCCACATAAAGCTGACCGACTTTGGCCTGTCCAAGATCGGGCTCATGAGCATGGCCACCAACCTCTACGAGGGCCACATTGAGAAGGACGCCCGGGAGTTCTTGGACAAGCAGGTACGCTGGGTGGGTGGGCAGGCAGGCCGCCCTGGGTGTGGAGCTGCCTGGCTCTGCCTGGAGCTCACTCCCAGGTGCAGGAAGATCCAACGGCAGAGACAATCGCGTCCCTCCTCCTGCAGCACCCCGTCTGCCCTGGCCTCAGTTTCCCCATTCTGTTGGCTAGGTGTGTGGGACGCCTGAATACATTGCGCCTGAAGTGATCTTCCGCCAGGGCTATGGGAAGCCGGTGGACTGGTGGGCCATGGGCGTTATCCTCTACGAGTTCCTGGTGGGCTGCGTGCCTTTCTTTGGGGATACCCCTGAAGAGCTCTTCGGACAGGTTGTCAGTGGTAAGTCCCCTCCATGGCCCCAGGTGTGCATCTCAGCCCTGCTAGAGGTTCTGGGGAGGGGTCCAGGAACTGTCCCGAGAGAGGAACCACCCCACTATAGATCGAGCACTTTCTGTGTGTCCTGGCTCAGCTAGGCACATTGCAGGAGCAGTGAGGGCTGACAGGAGAGTCATCTGCTACCTTGCCCCCTCCCCTCATTGCAGATGAGATCATATGGCCGGAAGGGGATGAGGCCCTTCCAGCAGATGCCCAGGACCTCATCACCAGGCTGCTCCGGCAGAGCCCCATGGACCGCCTAGGCACTGGTATGTGTGTATAGGCAGGGCCCAGGGAATGGAGGGACGGGAGCTGGATCAGACAGTAGCTTTACTTGGGAGGCTGCATAGAGGAGAGGGCTTAGATCTGGGGTTTTGAAGTATGAATAGGAGTTCACAAGGACTCAAGCATGGTAATTGAAACTGGTACATGCAGTGGGATGGTGAGTAAATAAATACATGAGTTAATATAGTGTCCTGTGGTGTTTCAGGGTCCTTAAAGGCCCAGGGGATTTAAGAGGCTCTTTGAAGTTTGTGCAGCTGCCCCTTAGACCCCAGTGTGGGTCACATTTGGAACTGTGGGTTGACCAGAGAGGATAGTTGGACCTGCGGTTGGCAACAGGATACAAAGCTTAAATGCAGGCAGCTCCCATTTCCAGGAGTCAAAATAGGTGGAAAAGACCCCAGGAAGAAGCTCTCTTGAGGCCTCTGGGTTTCTGTGTGTGATGAGTGACAGAGTACCGAGAACCCAGCTGGCCTGGTCCCCCTGCCTGTGTCACAAGATTCCTCCCCAGGTTCACAATCAGCAGCTGGTTTTTACGTTGGTCTTTCTAGTCCTCTATTGGCTAAGACTCATCTTCTGTCACGTGCCCAATTCACTGGCCATCTGCGGGGAGTTGAGCAGGGCCAGGGAAGTGGCAAAGGAAGGGGTAGCACTCCAGGGTGCCCTGGGACTCAGGCCAAGTGTGTCTGCAGGTGGTACGCATGAGGTGAAGCAGCACCCCTTCTTCCATGCCTTGGACTGGGCAGGACTCCTGCGGCACAAGGCTGAGTTTGTGCCACAGCTGGAAGCTGAGGACGACACCAGCTACTTTGACAGTGAGTGGGGGCCCTCAGGAGGGGGAGACTGTCATTCTATAATCCCTAAGGGCCAGAAGGAGGGGTATCTTCTAGGGACCCCACCTAATCTTGGTACCTCACACAGTCAAGCCGGGCTGGGTGAATTGGTAGGTCTGTTTCCCATGCATTCCCAGAAGCTGGAGGTACATGCACACCCCATGTTGTTGCTGATTGCCGTCAAGTCGAGCACGACTCATAGCGACCCTATGAATGAAAGACCTGAACGCTTTCTATAAATATCATAGTTTCTCAAAGTTCATAGAGTTTCCAGAGGCATATGGTTTAGGAAGTGGATGCCACTCCTGCTTCCTGCACACTCCATACTGCTGGGATTTCCTGTGCCTTTGAGTCAAAACGGCTGAAGGCCCCCTTCCACAGTTGGCTTGCGGAAGGGGAAATTAAGGCACCAGTATGGGAGACCCTTGCCTGGAGTCCTTCAGTAAGTTAGCCTCCTCCAAGCACAAAACGTGGAGTAGCTCATGTCTTTCTGGGTCCCCTCTGTCACATGGAAGGATAGACCTTAGGGCTACAGTGGAGAGACTCAAATGAGTTCCCCTTTCCCCACTCAAAACTCTGGCCAAACACTGAGTATAAATACCTTCCCTTTCCAGCTCTCCCTCCAGAACGCCCTCTGTGATCTGGGGTCTTCTCTGATCCTCTTGTTTCCTCTTCTATGAAATGGACAGTGTGTCTTTTTATATTTGAGACAAACGCTTTCACATAGTTCTGAGTGGCCCATTTTAAGTGAAGAAATTGAGGTTCAGAGACAAGAAGTCCTGCCTGAGGCCCCCCAGCTTCTCGACACAGCTGGGATTTGAGCCCAGTGGCGTGAGGTCCCTCAGCCTTGCCCGGCCCTGTCCCAGCTCACGGCCTGTGTTCTCTCCCTCCTGCAGCACGCTCGGAGCGATACCGACACCTGGGCTCTGAGGATGACGAGACCAACGACGAGGAGTCGTCCACTGAGATCCCCCAGTTCTCCTCCTGCTCCCACCGGTTCAGCAAGGTGACCCTGGGCCCCTGGATGGAGTGGGCATTGTTTTTCATTCTAATTTTTCTAACTGTGGTAAAATACCAGCAACATAAGATCTGCCATTTTAAAGTGACCAGCTGGTGTCATTTATTCATAATGTTTGGCCACCACCTGTATCTAGAACATTGCCCTTCAGCCAGAGGGCAGCCCTGTACTCATCAGGAATCACTCTGTTCCCCCCCGCCCCACTCCCTGCCACCGAGTCATAACCGGCTCAAAGCTGACTTTCCATCTGGTCTCCAGGGCTGTAAATCACACAGGAGGAGCTGGCCCTTCTTTCTCCCTAGTGACCACTGGTGGATTAGAACCACCTTTGTGTCAGCAGCGCAGCACTCTATGAACTATGACACCCTAATCCATAAAACAACAAATTTTTATTCAACCATAAAGACAAGCAAAATCCTGATATATACCACAATGTGGATAAGATTTTAAAATACACTGAAGACACTTGCAAAAGGACAAAGACTATGTGTTGATCTTGTTAGGTGCCATCAAGTTGAGTACAACTTGTAACAACCCCATAAACGACAGATCTGAGCTCTGTCCTACCCTGTGCCACCCTCACCACCTCTGACACACTCGAGCCCATTGCTGCGGTCACTGTGTCAGTCTGTCTGGTTGAGGGTCTTCCTTTTTTTTGCTGACCTTTCCAAGTATAATGTTCCTCTCTGCGGAAGAGCTTCCCCTAGCAGCCTGCCCAAGTGTGTAAGACGAAGCTTTGTCATCTTTGCCTCCAAGGAGCCCTCTGGCTGCACCTTCTCAGAGACACATCTGTTCATTTGGCAGTCCATGGGGTGCTCTCACTTATTTTATGTAGTTTTGTACCATCGAGCCAGAACTAACTCATAGCTGACCCTCCAGCGGTTTTTAGAGGCTGTAAATCGTACAAGAGGAGGTTGCCCATCTTTCTCCCAAGGTCTCACTTATTAGGAATAAGCAAATACATAGAAAACAAAGATTTTTTCTTGGTTACTGGGCATCGGAGGAAAACAGAATTTTTACTCAGGGGTCGTTGAGGTTCTGTTAAAAGGAACAGAATAACTCAGAAAAAGAAAGAGAGGAGGATTGTACAACCTGAACAGTGTAATCACTGTCGTGGATTTGTACCAGGAGCAATTGTTGAATTAGAATTTTATTATGTTTGTTTTTACCACAGTAAAAAAAAAGACCAGTGGCTGCTGAGTCAGCCCTGAGTCACGCTGACCCCGTGTGTGTCATCATGGAGCTGGGCTCTGTCAGCCGAGGGGTGGCTGGTTTTTTTCAGCAGTAGATCGATAACCAGGCCTTTTGTCCAGTGCACTACTGAGGATATTCACACAGCTCTGGTGGCTTCATGGCAAGAAGCTGCGCTGCAGTCCTGAAGGCACATTGTTCAAATCCACCAGTTGCTTCACAGGAGGATGAGCAGTCTCCTCCCGTGCGATTACTGCCTCTGAAAACCCTCTGGAGGATTGGGTCTGACTAGATGGTACACAACAGCCTTCTGGTGAACAGCCAAGTGGGTTAACAGTTTGCCCCCACTCCCACCCCTAGGGCCTCCCCCATCCTTTAGACAATCCCTGTCTACTTCCTGTGTCTATGATTTGTCTCTTCCGGATGTTTCCTATCACTGAAATGACACGGTATGTGACCCTTTAGTCTGATGTAGTTTACTGGGCCCGTTTTCATGGGCCGTCCTCACTGTGTATATCAAAATCTCGTTTCTTTTTATGACTGAAGAATATTCCTGGTTTGTATGAACAGACTACATTTTCTTCATCTCCTAATGAGCACTTGGTCATTTCTACCTTCTGGCAATTGTGAACACAATTGCTAGGCCTCCTGTTATTTTATGACCTCAGAAAGCTCGAACTGTGTGTGTCTCTTTTTCATTTATAATGTGACTGCGTTTAATGTGCAGTGTGATCATAAATCTATCCTGTTCCAGGCAGGAGCGCCCGGGTCAGCAGTCGGATGCTGGCTGTGCTCCTCCTAGTTGCTAAGCCACTCTGACCCTCAGTTTCCTCATCTGTACATGAGTTAGAGATGCTCTCGTTGGGCATGTGGGGAGCAAGGATTGAAGGAAGTGACTCATGGAAGCATCTGGAGTGTAGGAAGCACTCAATTCCACTGCCTCTCATGCCTGGGTGTGGCCACCTGCCGCCACCGTTGTTTTTACTGTTATTTTGGTTCTTTGCCCAGGTTTACAGCAGCTCTGAGTTCCTAGCGGTCCAGCCCACCCCGACCTTTGCAGAAAGGAGCTTCAGCGAGGACCGGGAGGAGGGCTGGGAGCGCAGTGGTGAGGTGGAAACTGGCCGCCGTAGGAGCATCGACGTCCGGTACGTAGGCCCGGGAGTGTGGACAGATAGATGGAGCTTCCACGTCTGCTGGGAGGGGGAGCCCCCAAATCTGGCACTGGAGGGAGCTTCTTAGTGTAAAAAAGGTCAGCCTATCAGGTCATCCACCAGCCATCTGAGTGGGTAGGTTTTTGTGCAATTTTCTCTGCCTGGAAAGAGCATTTGCTAATGAACTTCTATTCATCCCTCAAAACCCTAGCCCAGCAGAGTCAGCTAGAGAATGGGCATTGGCACAGGGCTTTACAGGTGAATAGAGTTCTTCAAGTCCATGAGGAGGACAGTACTAACAGAACTCAACCAGCTGGCAGGCTGAGGGGTCAGGGTGTGGTCCCCGGGAAAGAAGGGGTGCTGGTGTCTAGTGACTGGGCCCTTGTCCTCTGCAGCCTGAGGTCCTGGCCAGCTTCTGGGTCCTCTTGCCACCCCACCTCATCGCAGCCTGAACGGGGCCCCAGCCCATCTCTCCTGAATACCATCAGCCTAGACACGATGCCCAAGTTTGCCTTTTCGTCAGAAGATGAAGCGGTGGGCTCAGCCCCTGTTTGTGCTGAGAAGCCCATTTTCATTCTTGGGGAGCCTGACCCGCCTCCAGTAACCACCTCAGTGATGTCCAAGGCTTCTGGCCTTTCAGGTATGTAGGGGGTCCAGGCAGGGGACTGTCAGGAAGGTTTTCCAGAGAAGGGATTATTTGAGATGCGCTTTCAGGGATGAATAGGAGTGCACTAGAGAGACTATTTACTTATGTAACAGAACTGAGCCTTTTCTCCCAAGGAAACCCCCAAACTCAGGCATCCCCAAGCTTTGTAAGGCCGGGACAGGACTTGAGGGATAGTAGATCTGGGGAACTCAAAGAAAGGCAACCCCCCAGCTTTTTCTGAAATAGAGGGAAGGCTTTTTGGAGGCAGGGCTTTTTTCAGATGGGATTTTTGGCATGAGTAGTTCACCTGAGAATCCATATACTTAGCTAACAAAGACTATAGCCCATTTCATAGGATCCAGTCAGGATTGAAGAGAGGAGCAGTGCTGGGAACTCAGGAATGTTAAGGTGGGGTAGTACATTGTTCAGCTCCGTGGGGGAAGGCTTCCAGGAGGAAGAGATTTGAAAAGTAGAACTTTCTAGAGAAAAGAATCCAGGAAGGATGTGCAGGAAGAGGGAACTGTAAGAGAAAAAGCTAAGAGGTAGGGCTGCGGGGAGGATGGAGAGCCCAAAGGAGAGATTGCTGGAAGTCCAGGCTGACCCCTGACCACACCACTCGCCCCCAGCGGACACAGCCGCCCTCAGCCACGCCCGCCTGCGCAGCAACAGCATCGGCGCCCGACACTCCATGCCTCGAGCCCTGGACGCCGGGAGGGGACGCCGTCTGGGGGGCCCTAGAGACCCTGGTCCCGAGAAGCCCAGGGCCTCCCCTAGTGGGGGCCGTGTACCCAAATCTGCCTCAGTGTCTGCTCTGTCGCTCATCATCACAGCAGGTAACGTGAGAGCCCAGGAGACAATTCTGCATCCACCTTCAGACAAAGGCCATGTTTCTCTCGTTTTCCCTGACGGGGTGGGTGCTTAAGCCAGGGGGCTCAGGGGCATTCCTGAGGAAGGCATTGAGTCAGAGCCCGGGAAGGTGGGGAGGAGGGGAAACACTGGGGAAGAGCTTACCCGGGAGAGACAAGTATGGGCAAAGGCCTTGAGGTGGCACTGTGCTTGGAGCATTAGAGCACCAAAGTCGAGGTGGGAGTACTCCAGTGGGGCCCCTCTAAAGGAGTGATCCCCATCCCACCCCTGCAGATGATGGCAGCAGTGGTGGCCCCCTCATGAGCCCCCTGTCTCCTCGCTCACTGTCCTCGAACCCGTCCTCCCGTGACTCCTCGCCGAGCCGTGACCCGTCCCCTGTGTGTGGCAGTCTTCGGCCCCCCATCGTCATCCACAGCTCAGGCAAGAAGTACGGCTTTAGCCTGCGGGCCATCCGCGTCTACATGGGCGATAGTGACGTTTACACTGTGCACCACGTGGTCTGGGTGAGTTCCGTCACAGAGCCTGGGAGTGGGGCTGGACAAGGACAGTGGAACTGAGCCAAGGCTGAGCCCTGGAGTGTTCTCAGAAATTGAGTGAATAATGCTCATTACCTGGGGGGGTCAGGGCCTTATTAGCTATGGGGAGGGGGACCCCCAGTGGGTGTGGTAATCTCCCCACTGCATATTGACACATGTCTTTCTGTCCTTCCTACCCCAAGATTGGAGCTCTGACCCCTCCCCTTTGTTCAGTCTTCAGTCCTTAAAAAGCCCCTTAGAGTCAGGGAAACCGAGGCAGCTCCAGGATGAAGCTTGCTGGGTCTGCAGCTGTTTACTCTGCCTTGGGGTTTTGAGCATCGTTCTCAAGCCCACTCTGACTGCATTTTACCCCCACTCTCCAGAGTGTAGAGGAGGGCAGCCCTGCCCAGGAAGCAGGTCTGCGAGCTGGAGACCTGGTCACCCACATCAACGGGGAGTCAGTGTTGGGTCTGGTGCACATGGACGTGGTGGAGCTGCTGCTGAAGGTGCCCGTCCGCCCCCCGTGGTCACTGGGACTCCGAGCCTCTCTGTCCAGACCCATGAGCCTCCCTCGCCAGCCCGTCCTGTGCTCCACACCGCCACCTGCCCTTGGGTTTCTCTCACACTTGAAACATCTCTGCCCATCCTGGAGCTTCCAGAACTCCTTCTACTGCCTGCTGTTGGGGGGTCCCAAGACCTAATATCCCTTCCACCTTCAGGCCCTCAGCTACCTTCCTCTAGGAACCCCCAACACTGCCCATCAGCGGAGCTTCTAGAACCATCCCCGACCCTCTTGCCCACCTTAGAGAAGATCCCAGGATCCCTACCCTGCTCACCCAGACAACCCTCCCAAACTCCAGCTCCTAACTCCCCATAGACCACCTCCTTCACCCACACTACTCACAGGCCTACACCGGGCCCCTTCCCACCCTTTCATTTAGCCCCCTCCAAGCTAGACTGAAGCCCTCCCTGCCCCCTGGGTACCTCACCATGCGTAGTACTGAGTCTTGGATGGGAGCTGGGGGCATCCTGGGAGATGAGAGTTGGTGGGACAGACTGTGGGTGCTGGATGTTGGGTCATGGGTGTGGGTGGTGAGTGTGGGTGATGCTTGCTGGGTAGTGTTTTGAATCATTGGTGGATGGCCAGTCCTGGCTGGTGACTGGACTAGAAGGACGATAGGGGGTCCTTGGGCAGGAGGCACACAGCTGACCCCTGGCCATCCCTCGGCAGAGTGGCAGCAAGATCTCACTGCGGACCACAGCTCTGGAGAACACGTCCATCAAGGTGGGGCCTGCCCGCAAGAACGTGGCCAAGGGCCGCATGGCCCGCCGAAGCAAGCGCAGCCGCCGGCGTGAGACACAGGACCGGTGAGTGGAATAGGGGCTGCGGCATAGTCAGCTGCTGGGTGAGGGCAGAAGGGACACAGCTGAGCCCCTTTCTCCTGCTCTGGCTTTTCGTGCCCATCCCCAGGCGGAAGTCTCTCTTCAAGAAGATCTCGAAGCAGTCTTCGGTGCTGCACACCAGCCGCAGCTTCTCCTCTGGCCTCCACCACTCCCTGTCCTCCAGCGAGAGTCTCCCCGGCTCCCCCACACACAGCCTCTCCCCAAGCCCCACGATGCCCTGCCGCAACCAGAATCCCGATGCCCCCACAGGTGGGTGTGTGCTAGGAGAGAAGACCCCAGTAGGGGTTGAGAGGGAGGGAGCAGGGTGTGGAGGATAGAATATAGGAAACTAGAAATCTGGAAGCACCTGTGTGTGTCCTGGAGTGAGATGTTAGGGGGCCAGGGGAGAAGAGGAAGGGTGTGCCTTAGCAGAGGGAGCATCATGTGCACCGGAGACTGGTGCGGGTGTGACGGATGGATTTCTCATAACTTCCAACACTGGGTAAATGAGCTGGACAAAATTAGGTGTGGTGGGAAGCCATGCAGAGTGCAATAGCTGGCAAGGGCATGGTCATAACTCAGTGTTGGAAAGATTCTAGGGCAGGAAAGGAAGGAGACCCTGTGGAAAACAGAGTCAGACAAAGATACCCTCAGCCCCACGGGGTCAGGACCAGGCTGTAGGAAGGGACCAGGCCTTGGGAAACTCAGAATGGAGGTAGAGAAGTGGGTGTGGGAGCTAGGGTTTTGATGGATGAATAGGAGTTCACCAGATCTAAGCAGAGAAAACAGCCTGTGCAAATGACAGGAGCAAGGAAAGCTTTGGCAGATGTGGTCCATCTCAGAGCTTCAGCTCCAGGCTGGGGACATTGAGGCAGGTAGCACTGATTCATACTTGTCACCCACAGACACAGCATCCCCACCCAGCACATCTCCGAGCTCCAGCAGCCCAGCCTCTCCAGCAACTGCTGGCCACGCACGCCCCAGCTCCTTGCATGGCCTGGCCGCCAAGCTTGGACCACCCCGCCACAAGGCTGGTCGCCGCAAGTCTACCAGCAGTATCCCACCCTCCCCACTGGCCTGCCCACCTGTGCCTGCACCCCCACCTCGCTCACCCTCACCTCTGCCTGGTCACCCACCCGTGCCTGCCCGCTCCCCACGCCTGCGCCGGGGCCAGTCAGCAGATAAGCTGGGCATGGGCGAGCGGCTAGATGGAGAGTCAGGGCGCCGGGGCCGAGGGCCAGACTCGGAGCTGGTGGTCATGCGGCGGCTGCACCTCTCGGAGCGCCGGGACTCCTTCAAGAAGCAAGAAGCGGTGCAGGAGGTGAGCTTTGATGAACCTTCGGAGGAAGCAGCCGGGTCGCCCACTTCAGTGCCACAGATCGCTGTGGAAGGCGTGGAGGCTGTGCTAGAAGCCCCTGGTCCCACAGGCAAGAACTGACCTTTCCCATTCTGGCCTCCGCTGGCCTTGAAGCCACGTGTTTCTTTGTGCAATGTTTTTCTACTAAAGTGATCACCGGATGGAGACCAGGCTACCAGCCTGAGGCACCTTGAAGGCAGGAAGGCCTCCTGGTCCTCCCTGGAAGGTGGAGGCAACACCTCACATTCTGATGCCAATCAGGGCCATAGGGGCAGGAGAGGCGTTGTACATAGCAGCAAATTCCTGTGATTAATTTATTACTTTTTATAAGCGATTGCCAGACTGAGCTGCCCCCGTGCAGGCTGCTGCCCCCGCCCTGACACTTGAGCCTGGGACCCCGTTTGCAGACCCTGCCTCCTAAAATGAGAAGGAAGCACTTTGGACAAGTCATGTGTGTGTTTGTGAATTCTGGTTTTTCTTGTATTTTTAAAAATGTTTGTGTGTATCCCCTGGTCTCCCCTACATCCACTGTTTAGAAGGCACTTAGCTGAACTTACCTGTCAACTCTGGTCGAGTATGATTTGCAAAGTTTATAAATGCTGCCCTTTCCGTATAAAACAAAGTAACCCTGATGGACTGGACTCTCTGGGCTATGTCCCGCTGGCCTGGCGACCACTGCCCACTTGGAGGGGATTTACGATCCTACAGATTTTGTTCTGCAGGAGGGGATGTGGGAACTAGGAAGTTGACGGCTGAATCACCAGATCAAGGCCAGGCATGACCCACTCCACAGGACACTGCACGATAGGAGAAGAATGTCCACTCTCTACAAGTTTCTGACTGTTTTAGACCCACCAGGGTGAACCTTGACTGTGATTCATCTGAGACGAATCTAGGGGGTCCCCTTGATTCAGAGCTTCCCAGGGATGAAGTTCAAGTGAGAAACCTGAACTGAGGGACAGCAAGGCCCATGTGTGCCCCTCATCTGTGTGATATGGCTTGGGGGAAAAGTGGCTTTCCCACTCTGTGCCTCAGTTTCCTTGTGTTTACAAGACTAATTCCAACAATTATTTATTAAGCGACTACTTTGTGCCAAATGCTTTTTCATGTGGCTTCTCCTTTCCTCTGCCAGTCTTCAAAAGGCTGGAGGTGGTGGCATCATGCCCATTTTACAGTTGAGGCGATTGAGGCCTGGTTAGGGACAGGAACACGTCCCATGATCCACTAATGAGTCACAGCATGAGGGATAATCAGTTGGACCTTGTTCTGGTGCACTGGTCATCCAGGATGGTCTGGTGGAGGATCTGGTGGCAGATACACCAGACTCCAGCCCCAGCTCTGCCTGGTGATGCTGTGTGACCCGTGACCCAGGAAGAGTTGCTTGGCATCTCTGGGCCTCCATTTCTCCATTTGGAGGCAGCTGATGGTGAGGGCACTCTTCAGGCACTGCATCCCACTCAGCATCCCCACCCTCGCCTCTAGCCCAGCACTGTCTGGTGCTGGAGGCAGGACCATGGCTGTGCATGATTCGCCCCCTTTCCAATCTGGAGATGAATAAAAAGCCCGCATTTACAAGAGGACTTCGCCTGTCTTGATTTGTGTGGAGGGAGGGAAACGGGAAGAATGGTGGGATGAAAACCACCCCTTAGCTCAGCAAGATGAGCATGGAGCCAGCCCCTCATCTCTAACCCTCTCCTTGCTGTTGTTTTGTGCAGTCGAGTCACTTGCAACTCCTAGAGACCCTATGTACGACAGCCCTAAACTCTGCTCTATCCTGTGCCAGTCGCACTGTCTCCGATACACCCATCCTGATTACCCCAGTCACCAAATCAATCCACCTCCTAGAGAGCCTTCTCTTGTGCTGTCCTTCCACCTTCCCAAGCATGATGTCCCTCTCCAAGGACTGGTACCTCCTTACAACATGTCCAAAGTATGTTAGACGGAGCCTCAGAATCCTTGCCTCCAAGGAGCCGCCCAGTTTAACCCTCTCTAGGATGAACCTGTTTTCTGTCCATGGTACCCTCAATACTCTTCTCCAGCACCACAGCTCAAAGGCATCAGTTCTCCTTCTATCCTCCCTAGTCATTGTCCAATTCTGACGCATTACAAGTGATTTCAAAGACCATGGCCTGTATCAGAGGCACCTTAGTCTCCAGAGAGACACCATTGCTCTTCAGTACTTTGGAGATGTCCCTAACAGCAGACTTTCCCATCGCAGTGCAGTAAAACTCTGATGCTCCCTAATGGGCCAACTGAGGTGTCAGGAAGGCTACTCGGGAGTTAGACATTTATATGTCCCCTGGTCCCCACCTCCCTCTAAAACAGGTCCCAGGGACCCTGGGCTGTATAAAAGAAATCCTTTGTGCCCTAAAACTTCAATCGAACCCAACCTATCCAGAACACTTGGCTACTTCCGGTGTTGCAAACCTTCTAGGCACACTCCTCACCCCCTAACTGTTGCCAGAAACAAATGGGTAGCATCGGTTCCAGGTCCATGGGCGGCTTCCGGGCGCTCTCCGCTGCCATAGAAACGCCTTCAACTTGCTGCTCCTCAGACGCGAGCTTGTTCGGCTATTTCCGGAAAGATCCACTCGTTAGGGCGGGCCCCTTCCCCACTTCTGTTCCCTGCACCACCGGGCTGCCTCACCGCCATCTGGAGCCGTCCACGCTTAGGCAATTTGTGGAAGCTGGCTGGGCTCTCTGGACTCAAATCCCCGCGCAGAGGCGTATGTATGGAAAGTAGTGGCTTTGGCAATTCGTTTTAAATTGCTGACAATGGAAATGAATGGTATATAGAAAGTGCTCAATGGCGCCCCTCCTCAAAAGGCAGCCGGGGCACATCTGCACCCGCCATACCCTAGATATGCCTCCGCTCCTAGAACCGATCACACTCTGTTCAGCCGAAACGAACTCGGCCACCTCCGGAATTGCTCGGGTGTGTCTAAACCTCGCTCAGCCGAACCCGAAGCCTCATCGGCCAGGCTTGATAGATCTCGGCTATTTTCGGAAACAGTCGGCTGTTTTGACAGCCCCTCTAGACCACCATTCCCGCGGGAATACGCTCGGTTTTTTCCGGAGTGGCTCGGGTGTTTCTAAACCTGGCGGAGCCCAACGTAAGGTTATTGGAGCTACTCGAAGCATTCGGCTACTTTCGGAACTACTCGGCTCTCCCGGGGGAGCACTTCGGCTTTCTCCGGAAGTAGTCGGGTATCCCCGGTCTCCGGCTCCGCTTCGGCTCACCCGCGGGACCCGAACGCGCTGGGCCATTTCCGCTGGGGGCGGGCCCGTCCGCTCGGAACCGCGGCGGCAGCTGCTGCGGCGACGGTGGCGGCCGCGGTCGAGCCACGGGGCGGGTTCAGCTCGGCGTGACGGCTGCGGCGGAGGCGGCAGCAACACGACCAGGTGAGTCCGACCGATTGTCGTACAAGGTAGGTGCGAGAATAAGGGTGCACCGAATGTGGGGCTCGCTGGAGGTCAGGACGGAGCGCTGGACTGGATCGAGCCCCGCGGAAACTGGGGGGGCCTCATGGAAGGGGAGCCGCATGGGACTCAGGGCTCGGCTTGACTCGGCTGCAGTGCAGTCTTCCCGGGGACGCGGGGTGCAACTCGGGGCTCCAGGTAGACATAGGCTCCTAAAGCCGCAGCCCCTACTGAGGTTGGCCCTGTCTGTGCTGGGGACACCGAGCAGTAACGAGGGGCTCCCGGTTATTGTGTGGAATAAAATGGGGACGAGAAGTCAGGGGTCGACTCCACTTCCGGTCCACGAAGGCCCCGAGTGTGTATCTGTCCACGCGTGAGCGCGCACCGACCCCGCCCGCGCCTTAGACAGTTGTGCGACCCGCCTCCCCCAGTCTGATTCGGGTCGCGCACACCTAGTGCTGTGCAAACATCTGCACACTAGGATCCCAGGCAAGCTACGACAGGCCCTTTCTTGCATGTCCCCTCGCTGGGTCTCAGTTTCCCCACCTGTGGCATAAAAGTGACAGGGTCCAGAGAGCAGGTACCTTGGGCCCTGGGGAACAAGGAGCCCTTGCTCTTTGCTAGACATCTGGGACTCCTGGCCGCCTAGCGCTGGGCCTTCACCTGGCACTCAAGACTTTAATGGGCGGACTCCTCACTCTCACCAGCCCTCCCTGAACTCCTGGCAAACGGCTTCCCTCCACTGTGCTTTTGCATGAACAAGTCCTCTGCCTGGTGCACCTTCCCAGCTTTCACTGAGAACCCTGCCTTCCCTGGACACCCCCCACCCCCTAGCCCTTCTCCTTCCAACTCTCTGCAGGGTAGTCTATCTGTTCCACTCTTCCTGAGACTGGGGTGAGCCTGGGGTGATCGCCCACACCTGGCAGCTACAGTACACCTCTGCCATCTGCCTTGAGGCTGCCTACCCCACCCCTGCACGTTTTGAACAACCTGCTAGACACTCCCTGTATTGAAGCAAGCTGGAGGCGGGCTCCCCCAACTCACTCCTTCCCTGCAGAGAGGCCCACAATCCACCAGTGTGGACTCACCTCTAGGCTTACCTGTAGGGGTCTCTGCCAGGACCTCCTTCCCCTTTGCTCTGCATACCTGCTGCCTCCTTTTGAGCTCAGTTCTCCCAGTCGCCCTTTTGGACTTCCCTGAACGCCTCCCACACCCCTGCAGCCCTGCTCACTCTCATTGTACAGAACTTTCGGACCATGTGCCTAACCCGTTCATTTCTTTCTTTTCTTTTCTTTTTTTGACCCGTTCATTTCTTATGCTGACTTATAGTCAGGCCAATCTGGGTTTGAATCTTGCTTTCTTCTTGGCCCTGAGGAAGGCCTCTGTAGTCTCAGCCTTGGTTTCTTCATCTCACAAGGGCTTTGTGTCCTGGGTCGTTTCCTAAATACTTTGACGGGGGCTACTCTTGCCCCCATTTTACAAATAGAGAAACTCAGGCCCAGAGAAGGGAAGGGACGAACTTGGACCCCTCTCAGAGTTGAGGCAGGAAGGGTCTGAGCCCAGCTGACTCCACCCTGCCTTCCTCCCATAGGTCTGAGCCCTTGGCCGAGCATGGTGGCTGCCTGTGCACTTGGCTCCCTCGGAAGAGCCCCAGCCTTGGGTGCTGATGGCCTCCCACACGAGGGAGTGAGTGACCTCTCCCGGCCCCTCCAGCTGATGGAGCATTTGGCAGCAGAGTGAGCGGAAACAGCACAGATCCCACCCACCTGTCAACTGATGGTGGACACAGCAAGGAGGGACCCTGGTCAGGGTCGGGGCATCATGGTGGAAAGGGAGGCATAAAGCAGCCCACCTGGCCTCACCTGACCTCAGAGTTTTATTTCCACTCCTTCAAGTTCATGGCGGACACAGGGGTCTAAGTACCCTAAGCCAGCCCAGGGGACCCTCCTGCCGGCCCCTCCCACGGCCCATGGGGTCAGGAGGGCCCCCAGCAGCCACCTGACTGTCTGGACACCACCTCACCCGGCCATGGCAGGTGCTGAGGGCTTCCAGTACCGAGCACTGTACCCATTTCGCCGGGAGCGGCCCGAAGACCTGGAGCTGCTGCCTGGGGATGTGTTGGTGGTGAGCCGGGCAGCCCTGCAGGCGCTGGGTGTGGCCGAGGGTGGCGAGCGCTGCCCACAGACCGTGGGCTGGATGCCCGGCGTTAATGAGCGCACACGGCAGCGTGGTGACTTCCCTGGCACCTATGTGGAGTTCCTGGGGCCCGTGGCCCTGGCCCGGCCTGGCCCCCGACTGCGGGGTCCTCGGCCACTGCCTGCCCGGCCCCGAGATGGGCCCCCTGAGCCAGGTGAGTGGCCATCTGATACAGGGTCATGCCTGGGGACTCCGTCAGCCTCTTCTTGCTGTTGAGGCCGCGATACCCCTCTCGGGGAAGACTTAGCTGACATCCATTCAGTCATTGGACATGTGTTGATGGCACGTACATTATGGACTGGGCCCAATTCAGGGATTAGGGGCCAGCAGTGGACATAGGCCTGGCCCTGCCTTCACAGAACTGGCTTAAGGAATAACGAACGGGGTTGGGGACAGCACATGATGAGGATAGAGCCATTCCTGCGGGGAGCTGGGTGGAATGTTCTGGAGCTGCCAGGGTGAAGGCTGTGAAGTGGGATAGAATGGCAGAAGGCCCCCACGATGGGGAGTGGAATGAGGAAGTAGAGGCAGCAGTAGCTGGACCTGAGGGCTTGTGGGAAGAGCATGGAACTGGGCCTCAGGGATTGTGGGAGGGGTGTAGAATTCATTGAGCGTAGGGTTGGATTCAGAGGTCTAGTTTCCGTCTTCAGTTCACAGACCCTGTCCATCCAGGAATTCTCTTTGTTACTCTTGTTCCTAAAATGAGAAGATGGTGAAGCGTGGTGGACTGTGAGGACCCCATGTCCCTCTGGAGAGACCCTTAACTACCCCTGCTTGTTGTTCCTAAGCACATGCTGAAACTTTGCCATGTGCCAGGCAGGAAGTATGGGTTCTAGCTGGGGAAACTGAGGCCTGGGTGAGAAGAGGAGGCTGACCGGTGCTGAGCCTGGTCTGACCCATGAGGCCTGTGCACAGAGCAGAAGGAAGAGGTGCCCAAGGGTCCCTCAGTGTTCCAGCGGCCTGCGAGGCACTGAGAGCAGCCCGTCTTTGTGCATGAGGGACGCTCATGCCCAGAGAGGTTGGGCTAGAGTTCCTGGCTCAGGGCAGATCAGGGGCTCCAAGCAGCTCGGCATCTGGTGTCTCCAGGGCCCGGGCCTGTATCCCGCCTCGGCCCGAGGAGCAGGAGGCCCCATCTGGGCTCCTGGCCAGAATCTGCCTCTGTCCCTGGTAACAGCCGCCTCCCTCCCCAGCCTGGCCGAGGTCCAGCCACCGCATGCTGTCCCACGCGAGGCGGCTACCCGGCCTGCCCTCCCAGCCTTCCAGGACCACATGACCCTACCCAAACCCACCCACTCTGGCCTCAGTTTCCTCATCTGGAAACCACAGGACTGGTCCCTTCATGCCTGTTGCTCTGGATTCTGAGGACAAGCTGAGTCTACTCATGTCCCTACTGTTTGTTCCCACGCGGGGAACTAAGGCAGAGCCCCCACGTAGAAATAACCAGAGGGTTGTCCCTTCTGTAATATAGAGGTGACCACTCTTCTGCTGGGACCTCCCCACCAGTTGGCAAACTGGTCACAGATTCAGTGTTAAATGTCTAATCCCCACCCCTATCCACTATCCCCTTCACCCTGGGTTGGGTTTTCTTCACTGTTTTTTCTGGCATTTTCTACATAGCCGGGCCCTCCTCCAGCTTAAGTCTCCACCTGGCCCATCGCTCAGGAGGCCCCGCAGGCCCCAGCTTGCCCCTGCTGCATGCCAGGGCGTCCCCGCTGAGGGCCAGAGCCGTATCTAGTGGTGATAGAGGCAGAGGCTCCAGGACACCAGGGCGGGAAGGGCCTTCCTGGCTGGGGGTGGGGGGGACCACCTGGCCACTGGGAACCCGATCAGTGGCTTAGAAGGGGGGCCTGGGACCACTTGGCCACTGGGAGCAAGTTCAGTGGCTTAGAAAGGGAGTGCAGAATACTTTTTAAAAAACAAACAACTTGGAAAAGAGGGAAAAGTGTTTAGGCCCATAGGGATATTTTCTTCTTCAATTCCTTTGTTTTTCCTGCAAAGAAGGACAGATCATTTCATCAACCCATTTCTCAGTTGAGGAAGCTGAGGTCAAGAATGGGCAGGTTCAGTGCCAGAGTCCTGGGCCCTGGCAGAGCCCAAACCCTGTTAAGTGAGTCTCCTGGGGCTGCCATGACAAAGTGCCAAAAAAACAGGGCCGAGTCCAACAGCAGGAAGATATTCTCTCTGTGAGGAAGAGGAGGCCCAAAGGGGAGGGTCCTTCCTTGGCTCTTCTGGCTTCTGGTGACCTGGGGCAGTCCTGGCTTTATAACCTTAGTGCTCCAAGACATCTGTCTTCACATGACTTTCTCTTGTCTTCTGGGCTTCTGAAGACATGGTAATGGCATTTAGGACCCACCCTAAACCCTGGATGATCTGTATGGCTTCCAGGTAGAGTAGTCTGCAGGGAGTTAAGCAACTAATCCAGAGATGATGCATCTGATAGTTCAACTCCAAGATAGACTATCTCCTTCTGTCCAGTTTGGTGGTGGTGTGTACCATCAGAAACCAGCTCACAGCTGACCCTCCCACGGCTTTTCAGAGGCAGTAAATCACACAGGAGGAAATTGCCTCTCTTTCTCTTAAGGAGCATCTGGGTGGATTTGAACCATGTACCTTTGAGTTGGCAGCACACCTCCTTACCACTAAACCACCAGAGCTTCCTGTGTGTAATTTACAGCTTCCAAAAGCTCGCTGGAGGGTCAGCTATGAGTCAGTTCTGACTTGAAAGCAATGAGTGAGTGAACTAAATTACAAAGAGCCCTAATGGCTCAATGGTAAAGCGTTAGGCCGCTAACCAAAAGGTCATCGGTTCAGATCTACCAGCTGCTCCTTAGAGAAAAGGCCTGGTGATCTCCCATAAGGATTCCACTGCCCCTGCCTTGGGAGAGTTGATTGATTCTCCTCACAAACCTCCATTGAGCTTCCATGGTGATACATCTTTACAGGAGGAGATGGCCCGTCTTGCTCCTACAGAGCAGCTGGTAGAATTGAACCTCCGACCTTTCAGTTAGCTGCCTGACATGTTACACACTACACCAAGAAACCCTAAGAGGCAGTTCTCTGTCGCTGGGGGTCACGATGAGTTAGCATTGGCACACCATAGCAGCTTCGTTATCATCTCAAACACTCTTCTTTCCAAAGACGATCACATCCGTAGGTACCAGGCATCAGGATGTGGGTATATTTTTGAGGGTATACAACCCATCACCCCTGGTTTCTGAAGTGGTGTAAAGTCCTGATGTTTCCACCCAGGACACAAATGCCAGCCGACTCAGCCTTCAGCCCTCCAGCCAGGACCTTCTGGCCTCCCCAGCTGCTTGCCCAAGCCATAGCCTCTCAGCAGCCACCCCAGCTAATGACTCTGGGGGTGCAGAGAGAGGGGCCAGGCCCTGCCAGCACTTCACCTCCATCCTTCACCCCCTCCTTCCAGGCCTCACACTCCCTGACCTACACGAGCAGTTCTCTCCTCCTGAGGCCGCACCCCCAATTCTGGTGAAGCTTGTGGAGGCTGTTGAACGGACAGGTGAGCCTCAGCCACAGACCAGCCCCCCCCCCCCCAGTTCTGCTTGCATACCTCAGGTGATGGGCAGTTCAGCCCCTCACAGGGTTGCCAGGTTCAGTCAGTGCAGGAAGAATCCCTTCTCCAGGCCTAAAAGGCTCTGGGCCCCTTTGTGAATAGGGAGATGAGTGACCCCACAGGGAAAAGGGAATGTGGACACCCTACTTAGCCCTCTGGCAAGTTCCCTTCTCCCCATCTATTTCTAGATTAAAAAAAATGAGACAGGGACTTGAGGGTCTCAGTTGGACAGTTTGGATACTTGGGGACACGGTTTGATCCCAAGTCTTTCTGATGACCCTCTGTCCCATTCACCCAGGACTGGACAGTGACTCCGTCTACAGGCCAGACCTACCTGCCCCACGCACAGGTAAGCCGGACATCAGCAGGCCAAAGAGGGAAGGATTCTGCCTCCGATGGCCTAGTGGTGACCCAGGAACATCTGGATGTGTGCCCTTGCCTTGCAGACTGGTCCCTAAGTGACGTGGAGCAGTGGGACGTGGTGGCCCTGTCAGACGGTGTCAAGGGCTTCCTTCTGGCGCTTCCAGGGCCACTGGTGACATCTGAGGCTGCGGCTGAAGCCTTCCGGGCCCTGCGGGGTGAGCCGTGTGGGGCGCCCTGGGAGATGCGTGATTGGGAAGGCACTGGCCAGCCACCACTGGGGAGGGGCCGGGGGTGGGCAGGCGCAGGCCGCAGTGCATTACAAGGCACCCACATTCTTTCAGCAGAGTCTGCGGGGCCCGTGGGGCCAGCGCTGGAGCCACCTGTGCTGCCCCTGCATCACGCACTCACGCTGCGCTTCCTGCTGCAGCACCTGGGCCGCATGGCCCGCCGCACCCCAGCGCCAGGCCCCGCCATCCGCGCCCTGGCCGCCACCTTCGGGCCGCTGCTGCTGCTGCTGCTGCACGCGCCACCACCCTCGCCGCAGCCGGGGGTTGCGCTGGACGGGTGAGGCATGGCGCATGCGCCAGAGGACAGGGCTCGACGAGGGGGCGGGGCTTGGATCCAAGTATTAAGAAAGGGGGTGAATAATAGTGCCACAATGAATGTATGAAAACCCCAAATCTAACCTAGCGGTGAAAAAGAGTGCCAATTGGTGTCACAATCAGTAAAATATGTTGGAGGGTGAAGGGGAAAAAAAACAAAACCCAAATCTCTAAATGTTCATTAAAATTAATAAAATTTAATAAAAAAAATAAAAAGGGGTGAATGTCACCCCTGTGTGTGGATGGGGCTCCTCGCTAGGTCTGAGGGCCCTAGACAGGTGAGAGGAACGCGGATGAGGCTCCTCACCCCGGGAGCCCCCCCAGTTGCCTCACTCAGGATCTCTCGTAGCCAATACTACTGTACCCTCACTTTCAATCACCCCACCCCAGTTCTGGTTATATTCTGTGAATGTAATTGAGCATCGATCACCTACACATAAGCACGAGTTGGCTCGTGCCACTCCCTCATGTTCAGGCTCACACACAGTCGTGTGTACACACGTCACCCTGAACCTCCCACCCCCCAGGTCGGAGCCCAGCCCCGGCCCGGACTTCCCAGTGAAGCTGGTGGAGAAGCTGCTTCAGGAGCATCTGGAGGAACAAGAGGTCGTGCCCCCAGGTGACACACCCCACCACAGAAGGAGGGAGGACATGCCGGGAGAATAGGCCCTGCCTTTGTCAGTCCGCCTGGTTACAAGGGGCTTGACCACAGGGGACCCTCAGTACTCAGTGTGCATTTCTCTTCCTGTGTCCCAGCACTGCCACCTAAACCTTCCAAGGCCAAGCCAACCCCTGGGGGCCTGGCCAATGGGGGCAGCCCGCCTTCCCTGCAGGATGCTGAGTGGTACTGGGGGGACATCTCCAGGTAAGAGCGCAGCGCTGCTGAGGCTCCTGGGAGAACTGTGGGTGAAGCTGGAGTTTCGAGGGGCAGGCAGTGTCTCCAGCGGGCTGATCCTGAGTCTCTTTGGCAGGGAGGAGGTGAATGAGAAACTCCGGGACACGCCTGACGGGACCTTCCTGGTCCGAGATGCATCGAGCAAGATCCAGGGGGAGTACACATTGACCCTCAGGTGAGGGCCTACCCTTTCCACAAGACCCCGGGTCAAAGTTCATGGAAGCAAGTGGGAGGGCATCTGATCAGAAGGACTATATAGGGTTTGGGATATACAGAATGTCACAGTCAGGGGACCCGGGTCCTGGTGGGCACCTGGGAGTCAGCCTTGGGGTCTGTCTGAGTACTGGTACTCCTCTACCCTTCAGGAAAGGCGGCAACAACAAGCTCATCAAAGTGTTCCACCGTGACGGCCACTATGGCTTCTCAGAGCCACTCACCTTCTGCTCGGTGGTGGACCTCATCACCCACTACCGCCACGAGTCACTGGCCCAGTACAATGCCAAGCTGGACACGCGGCTCCTGTACCCCGTGTCCAAGTACCAGCAGGTCTGAGCCAGGGATGGGAGCCCAAAAGGGGGTTGCCTGGCCCAGACTAGGCCTGGGTCTCCCCTCTGACATCTCTGGCTACCCCCAGGACCAGGTAGTCAAGGAGGACAGTGTGGAGGCGGTGGGCGCCCAGCTGAAGGTTTACCACCAGCAGTACCAGGACAAGAGCCGAGAGTATGACCAGCTCTACGAGGAGTACACCCGTACCTCTCAGGTACCCCCAAGGAGACGGAGGCACGAAGGCCAATGAGGCTGTGGGTACACATGCCAACTGCTAGGTCACAGAGCCAGGCACCAATAGTTATTATGTGCCGTCAATTCTCCTGCGACTCATAGCGACCCTGTGTATCAGAGCCCTGCCCTATCCTGAGCCAGTCTCACTGACTGTCACACCAACCCCCATTGCCCAAGTTACTGTATCAGTCCATCTCATCTGGGGTTTTCTTCTTCTGCGCTGTCCCTCCACCCTTCTGAGCAGGATGTCCTTCTCCAAGGATCTCCTGGCCATCTGGCCAAAGTTTGTGAGATGGGGCTTCAAAATCCTAGCCTCCAAGGAGAAACTTGGTTTCACCATCTCCAAGACATATCTGTTTGTTTTCTTGGCAGTCCATGGTATGTTCAAGACTCTTCTCCAGCACCATAACTCAAAGGCATTCATTCTTCTTCTGCCATCCTTAGTCATTGTCTAGCTCTCTGATGCATAGCAAGGAATTGCAAAGACCATGGGCTGAATCAGGTGCACCTTAGTCTCTAGACTGTTGGTATTTTCCAGTACTCTGGAAAGGTCCCTGTCAGCAGATTTACCTAATGCCCCCACCAATAGTAGAGGCAGCTATAAAGTCTGTCAATAAATATATATGGTGGAAATTGTACCATAAGTTCTTGAGCAATCTAAGGGTGAGATTGGACCTCAGTTTCCACATCTATAAAGTGGAACTACATTTTATACTCTTTATAAAGCTACACTTGTTACCATTGCATCCATTCCATTTCATGGGAATAGAATAGAATAGGTTTACTTGTCTGAAGTTTATAGATTCTTGCTTGCCAGGCCTTTCTTCCATGATGTCAGTGGGTGGATTTGAACCATCAATTTTTAAATTGTCAGCCTCAAACCACTTGCACTTCTCACATCCCTTATAAAATAGAGGTCTTGATGACCTCTCCATTCCCTTTAGCTGGGGACATGATTCAAAGAGATGAGAATAATCTAGTGAGGGGTCAGCATAGGGGCAGTGTTCACAGGAAAGGGCCAGGCTTTACCACTTGAGGGGCCTGTTCATAAATTCCCCAAGATGCACCGGCCTCAGATTGATGCCCCATCCTGGGCTAGGAATCACTTTGGTCCCTGCAGCAGTACACAGTGTGACTTGTCCCTTCTTTACTAGCAGGTCATTGGAGGCTCTGAGGGGATGAGGTGTCTAACCACGTCAGTCACGAGAGATGTGCACCCTCAGTGTAGAAAGTACTGGATTTATTGTTAATTCTCAGCAGGGCCGCAGGTTGAAATATTCATGGGTTCTCAAAGGAGGGAAGGAGGCTTGGGGATCGGGGGTCTTGAAGGCTCAGTAGCAGTTTGTTGGATGTAGCAGGAGTCAGAAGAATGAGGAACAGCTTGAGTAGAGGCTGCTTGGCAGAAATGGAGTCTTCTTTCACCCCTCAGGGAGCTCTGGTGACGTAGTCAGTAGGGAGTTGCATTTTTAGCTCAAAGGCTGGACTTCTCTGATGGTTCAAATCCATCAGCAGCTCCACAGGAAAAAGACAGTCTCCTCCTATGAGATTTGGTGGTGGTGGTGTTGATTGCCCTCGAGTGGGGCGGGACTCAATGAACAAAAGGCCTGAAGCCCCTCTACATCTATCGACACCAGAGTTCATAGACTTTCTGGAGGCATGTTATTTAGGAAGTGGATGCCACCCCATGAGATTTACAGCCTCTGAAAACCCACTGGAAAGAGAGCAATGAGTCAACTCCACGTCTTGGAGCTAATGAGTTAAGTGTCACCCTTTTTGGGGTGCTGGTGGGGAAGCCCCAGGAGATGTTGAGATCCACCCCCTCCTCCAGGAGCTGCAGATGAAGCGCACTGCAATCGAGGCCTTCAACGAGACCATCAAGATCTTCGAGGAGCAGGGCCAGACGCAGGAGAAGTGCAGCAAAGAATATCTGGAGCGCTTCCGGCGGGAGGGCAACGAGAAGGAGATGCAGCGGTGAGTCCGGGAGGGGAAGGAAAGGAACGGGCTTTGACGGGTGAATAGGAGTTCGCCAGAAAGGAGTCGTCACGGGGAATCACACAGTTTCGAGGCCGGAATTATGGAGTTGGGTACAAGAGCGTGTCCTTAAGGGAGCTGCCCTCCCACAGGATCCTGCTGAACTCCGAACGGCTCAAGTCCCGCATCGCTGAGATCCACGAGAGCCGCACGAAGCTGGAGCAGGAGCTGCGGGCTCAGGCCTCCGACAACCGGGAGATCGACAAACGCATGAACAGCCTCAAGCCCGACCTCATGCAGCTGCGCAAGATCCGAGACCAGTACCTGCTGTGAGTGCATCCCTTCCAGGAGCCCTGCAGTTAGCCTGACCTGCCCTTCCTTAACTCTTGAAAGCAAGGGGCTCCCCAAAACCCACGCTGTTTATATACACCTGCTGGGTGCCGAGTTTATATCCTTCAATATTTTTTCTGAAGTTTCCTGCTCAGCCATGCCAAGACTGAGTCTCTCTTGCAAAAGTCTTGTCGGGTCCTGCGTGTTCCTGACTGGCTCCCCGAGTTCAGAGAGGATGCGAGGCTCCACCCACGGCCAACTGAGTCTGCAAGGCTTTGGGAACCTACCAAGGTTCAACTGCTTTTGTCTATGTGACGCGTGCCCCCATGTGGCCACTGGGGGTATTACATCCAGAACAGCCCTCTTAGATTAGCCCCTTTCTCAGGCCAGGCTTGCTAGATGACCAAGGGCTTTGGCCTGCCTCTGCCCTGCCTCTGCTGTAGTCTCGATTTCTCCATTAGCAAAAGGGACGTTCGCTCAACTTTCCTTTTCTTCTCCTCAGGTGGCTCAACCAGAAAGGTGCCCGGCAAAAGAAAATCAATGAGTGGCTGGGGATTAAAAACGAGACTGAGGAGTAAGTGACCAACTGCTGGGAGGCAGGGAGGTCTTCCTTGAGGAGGCAGCATTGCTGATGGGTTTTGAGGGCGTGCATAGGAGTTCACCAGGGAAGAAAAGTTGTACAGGCAACAGGGAGACCTCAACTGCTGGTGGTTGAGTGGCCACGTCCATCTGCCTGCCATCTCTGACCCCCACCCCACTGCCCACACAGCCAGTATTCTCTGATGGAGGATGAAGACGACCTCCCCCACCATGAGGAACGGACATGGTACGTGGGCAAGATCAACCGCACGCAGGCCGAGGAGATGCTGAGCGGCAAGCGAGACGGCACCTTCCTCATCCGAGAGAGCAGTCAGCGGGGCTGCTACGCCTGCTCTGTGGTGTAAGTGCTGGGGGAGAGGGCCCGCGGGGGGGGTCTCTTCACTCCCTGCTTTGACTTTCCTGGGGCACCTACTGGGACCTGGGAAAAGGAGGCAGCTGGGACGGGGTCTAGTCGAGAAATGGGGTCCCATGGAGAATGGGTGACCAGGGCTAGCTGGCAGGAGGGCGGAACCCAGGGAGCCGAGGACACCACGTGACATGTCGCCTGGCCCCTGCCCACAGGGTGGACGGCGACACCAAGCACTGTGTCATCTACCGCACGGCCACCGGCTTCGGCTTTGCAGAGCCCTACAACCTGTACGGGTCCCTCAAGGAGCTGGTGCTGCACTACCAGCACGCCTCGCTGGTGCAGCACAACGACGCGCTGGCCGTCACGCTGGCCCACCCTGTGCGTGCCCCAGGGCCTGGGCCTCCGCCTGCCAACCGCTGACGGCCTGGCACCTGGCAGGGCTGCCACAGGTCACCCACCCACAGAGGCTGGGACAGGGCTGCAGACCCGCACAGCCCGGCCTCCGCTTCCTCTTCTCTGGCGTTCTCAGTCTACTGACCTCTCTTAGTCTATCTGAGTCTCTGTCTCCAGCAAATCCGTCTCTTCCCATCTTTCCTTCTCCCGGTGTCTCTTGAGTCTCTTGTCTGTCTCTGTTTGTCTGTCTGTCCTCCCTTCATCTTTCTCTTTTTCAACTGTCTCTCTCCTGTGTCTCTTCCCGTCTTTCTTTCTTTTCCCTTCTGGGTATCTTTGTCATTGTCTCTCTCTACCTCTTTTTCTCTAACTCTCTCCCTATCTCTGTATTGGGGGTCCTGTACCCCTTCCCTAACTCCCCACGGACACTGCCCTCCCATGGTTCTGGCCACCTGATCCCCTGCCCTGCCCAGTGTAGGCCCCTGGGGTCCCCGAGATCCCTCCTGGCTGCGCCTGCCCTGTTTACAGAGGCCCCTGGGCTGCGCGGCCCCAGCTCGGGCACCCTGATTTTTAAGCCATAGACCCGGGGCCGGGCAGGAAGGAACCTCGCACGGCCACTTCCAGGAGCCTCTGCTGTGATATTTGGGGCCGGGCGGGACCCGCCCCACGGACCCCAACTTCCCTTCCAAACCCTGAAGTGAAACCTGCCGCTGAGTTTTTTCCCCTACGAGGGGAGCAATGTCAAGAAATCCCCTCCTGCCCTGAAAATCATTAAAAATAAAACTCGGGCACCGGGCCCACCCAGCCTGGCCCCTGGAGGCTCCGCTGCCGCAGGCTGTGGCCAAAACGCTGCCCACCAAGCGTGACTCCGGCCTGCTTCTTTTATCATGTTTCAATTTTACTTTTCCTCGGCAGTCGAGCCCTCTCTTTTTCTCTTCTTTTGGGACAAGCATCCTGGTTTTTTATGCTGTCAGCCCAGGAAGGTACATTTTGTACGGTACATTGGCATTGCCACAAATAAAGCTCTGGAACCGTTGTATTGCACTTGCAGTGGGTCTTTGTTGCTGCTTTGGGAGTGGGATGGGCCTGGTGGGACCCCCATGGTTGAGGGTGCACACACACCATGGTTAGCACAGGGCCCAGGGAAATGACAGACTCGCTCGGGGGGGGGATCACAGAAGAGACCCAAACCCTGAGCCCAGGGGACCCTAGACTCCACCCAACTGTCCACAGGCCTTCAAACTCACCTCCCCCCATCGTAATTGAGAGAGGCCCTCACACTCTCACTAACTCCTCCATATCTTCATCAGAGTTACAACACCAGGACTTCAGCATTTGAGTCCCCTGGCCCTGTGACTCCATCACTTTGCACCTGTCTTGTGACTTCCATCACCATCATAGGGTCCTAAGAGACACCAAGCTGGGTCAGGTGGGTGCAGCACCCTCCACCTGGACTCTAATCACTCCTTCCACCCCCCCCCCCCAGTCTTTTTCCCTCAGGGCCCTATCCCTCAGCCCAGTCTGTCTGTCCTTTTTACCCTCTTACCAGACAGGCCTCTCAAGGCCCAACTATGTAGGACAGGAGTAAAGAACAAGGAACAAGTTGCCTCTGCACTTGGGGACAGGAGAGTCCCCAGCTTGGCCTCAGAGGCCTGGAGCTGTCCTGACCTCCGCCCCTATCATATTCTTGGTCAGGAGGTGCTCAAAGATAAACTAAGTACTAGTTCTGCTCTGGTCACCTAGTGGGTAAGTAGAGCTGCCAAAAACCAGAGGTGGACTGTTCAAATCCACCACTTGCTCTACGGGAGAAAGATGGGCAATTTCCCACACGATTTCCAGCCTCTGAAAACGCGCTGGAGTGTCAGCTACAAATCCGTTCAGATTTAACAGCAATGAGTTGGTTTGGGTTTTTTTGTGTTTGCTCCCACATAGAGGACCCAGAATAAAGCTTGTCGCCAGCCAGCCTGAGGCCCCTTCTCCATCTTCTTTCAACCACCAGCTGTGTGCCCTGGGGAAAACTACTGTCCTTTCTGGTCTGTTTACTTACCGCTCTCCCCGGGGACCCTCTGAAGGTTTAATAAAATGGGTTGTGCCCGCAGCAGGTGGGCACTACATTCTAGAGTTATAAACACTGTGAGGTGTGCACTGCAGAAGCATGCCATTTACACTGATGGTTAATTCTACAGCAACACCCATCTAAAGGCAAACTATGGGTGCAAGTCTATGGGAGGCTTCCAAGGGGACCTGAGCTTGTGGGAGAGCTGGCATGCAGGTGCAGGACGGCCAGCCCCTACTCTCAGGGAAACCCCAGCTCCGAAGCTGTTGCTGCTACCTGTGTAGAAACGCTAGCTCTGGTTTCCTCAGAACCAAGCAGGGGGAGGCCCAGAGCAGCTGCGTGTCCCATTCCGCCTCGTGCCTGGCCCTGTGACCGGCAAAAATCTAAAGGTCTGTTACTTCCCCAACACACCTGCCTCCAGACCTTTTCCGAGGTTCTTCCGTTGTCTGTGTGTCCTGTGGACAGCCCCTGTCCAGATTCCTCTGGACCACCTCAGGGTAGTTTTATTTCTCTGTCTTCTCCCCACTTTACAGAGAGAAAAGCTGAGGCTCCAGTTTCTTGCCTGAGGTCCCAGCAGACAGTAGAGCCAAACTCAAACTGGTTGGCCTATGAGTCTGCATCTTACCCCATCACTCCTTCCCCCTTAGACAAAACAAGCTATCCCACCACCAGGACCACGGCCCATATTCTTCTCAGTTCAGGGAAGATAGGAGGAACCAACCTTCCTCTTTTCCCTTAGCTGGATTGGGGGTTCTCTAGGGAAGTGAGGAGCCTTGCTTTCTGGCTTCTGCTTTCCAGCCCAGCTGCGACCAAGCCTGAGTCAGCCTTACGGGAGGGAAGAGAGGTGGGGGCTGTGGAATCTTGGCGGTAGGGTCACAAGGGACAGGAAGTGGATAAAAGATCAGAGGAGAGGGAGGGTGAGAAGGACCGGGGACAGGGAGAAGGAAGGAACTGGACTATACCCACTGCCCCCACCCCCACCCCCAACTAGGGTCCAGGTATTCACTCTGGCCGTGGGTCCCCTCATATCTTGGGGATCTTTGTCTCTCGCTGTCCCTTAAGTCTCCACCCACCTCCACTCAAGGTGCTCAAGTCTCAGGCGTCTTATGACTGAGGAAAGCTGATTTCCTGGCGAGCGGGAAGGATGAGGACGGAATGAGACCCTACAGCGATAGTGCCCGTGACTTGGGACCCAGACAGACATCTGATGGCCAGTGGTAGGGCCGTTCCTGAAAGTAGCACCGGCGATGGCTCCCAGAGGGGCCAGGGGATCATTGGGCCAAGAGAAGGAGAAGGGCAGGGGGATCTGCGAGAGGGGAGTCCTGGTTCAGAGAGGGGGAAACAGCAGTAGAGCCACGGACGCGAGACTGAACATTCGCCTCAACCAGAAGAGCCCTGGGAGGCGTGGCGTCTGGTGGGCGTGGCGAGGGCGGGCCTCCGCGCAGTTAAAAGGCAGCTCCCTCCCAGGCCCCCGCATTTCCACCCCATCTTCCCGCCGCGATGAACTTTGCTCCCCTCCTGTTGCTACCGCTGCTGGAGATCCTCGCGGTGTCGCGTGCGTCCTCAGCGGGAGAGTCCACCAAGGTGGCAGCGGCCTGCAAGGTAGAGACCGGGAAGCGACAGGCCTGTCCTGGGGCCACGGCGCCTCCTCGCTCCCAGGCTCCTGTGGTGGGGGGGGAGGCGTCCCCACCACCCCACTGCCGCACCCCACACCCTCATGGAAGTTTCACTTCCCTGTCCTGTCCCCCTACCGCGTCCGCATCAGCCCTGCCTGAGGCTACACTTGAGTGCCCACTGTGTGCCTCTGGGGAGGGACCCAAGGAGCCTCCCCTGGATCCCCGACCGGCCAAGCAGCCTCCCCCGACCCACCCCCCGACCACCCGCATGTAGATGGCTCTGACTCTGTGCATTCTGGCCGGAAAGGGTTCCTCGCGGTTCTGCAGAGAAGGGAGCAGACACCACAGAAGTCCAGGGACTGGCCGGCAGCCCGCATCCACCAGCTGTCCACCGTCCGCCCCCCCCATTCCCCTCTGCATCCATCACTACCCACATAGGAGGCGCTGCCCCTGTGCAGTCTGGCTTGGGAGGGGTTCCCATGGGCCCATTGGGAATGGGAGTAAACAAGGAACCAGCTCGCCGAGGCTCTGGGGGTGAAGTGGCAGAGATGTGCATAATTAGGTTCCTGTAGTATGCACCTGCAAAAAGGCGGGGTTGAGGGTGGTGCCCAGAATTGTGTGTGAGGACTTTTAACCACGTGCAGCCCTCACACCAGGGGGCTGCAGCCAGAGGGCCTAGAGAAAAGCAAAGGTCGTGCATAGATTAAGTGCCTACTGTTTACACGCGTGTGCCCATCTGTTCATGCAGAACTGAGATTTAGGGAGGTTTAGCAACACCACTGGTCCCCTGGGTGGTGATGCAAGCAGTTGGCGCTAGACTCCTAACCTAAAGGTTGGCAACTTGAACCTACCCAGTAGTGCCGTGAAAGAAAGACCTGGTAATCTTGCTTCCATCAAGATTACATCCAAGGAGGGGTTGGGGAATGGTTGCCACCAAGAAAACCATGGCGAAGCTGTATTTCCACTGTGCTGCTCTGCTGTGATGCTGGGCCCCCTCTGCCTGTCCCTGCTGCAGCTTGGCCTGCCTGAACCCTGAGGGTGGAGGGAAGGGGTGTTCCCGGAGGTGGCCTATATTATAACACATGGGTTTACTGTAACTCTACAGCCACTGGTTTGGAGCTTTAGGGGGCAGGAGCACAGAAGGCCTCCGAGTTCCCCCAGCTAGGTCTGGAAGGAGGGCATGGGATAGAGCCACCTGTTTGCCGCTCCCTTTCCACATGGGAACCAAGTGGGCTCAGAGAAGGAAGGGGCCACCCTGAGCTCTTCCACCTCATGCCCTCTGCTCCCTGTAGGCTGGCGTCCTGTGCCCAAAGGTGCCCACCAAGAACCCTGACGCACCGCCTGTCAGCGTCAGTCTCTACTATGAGTCTCTGTGCGGTGGCTGCCGGGGATTCCTTATCAGGGAGCTCTTCCCCACTTGGCTAATGGTCGAGGAGATCCTTAACGTCACGCTGGTGCCTTACGGGAATGCTCAGGTGTGTGGGTGCTGGGCTTACCAAGTAAGGGAGGGAGGTGTGCATCCAGACATCCAGCCAGACGCCCCTTGCTCTACTGCTTTGCAGGAGCAAAACGTCAGCGGCTCGTGGCAGTTCACGTGTCAGCATGGAGAGCGTGAATGCATGCTCAACAAGGTGGAGGTGAGTGGGCCTGGGGGCGGGCATTGGAGCTTCTGCCTCAGGGGCCTCTCCCGTTCAATCTCACCACCATTACCATGTCGGTGTGAACACCAGCGACGCTGCCCCTCATGTCTTTGCCTGACCTCAATCCTCAGGCCTGCCTGCTGGACAAGCTGGATAAGATCCTGGCCTTTCTGACCATCGTCTGCCTGGAGGAAATGGATGACATGGAAAAAAACCTGCAACCGGTGAGCACATTCCTCTGTCTACACTAGAAGGGGGCAGGCACCAGAGACCATGGCTGACCCGAGTTCACGTCCTGCTATCGCGCTCCAGGAAAATGGCCTCCTGCCTCAAAGCCTTCAACTCTCAGAGGGAATCAGAGGATGAGCGTCACTTGGGAGCATGAGTTATCAGAGAGGGCTTCCTGGAGGAGGGATTGGGTATTCGAGCTGAGCTTAAACAGATGAATAGGAGTTTGCAAGGACACAAATGAGCGGCCTGTGGCATACATAAGAAGATGGTAGGACCTGACTGCCTGTTTTCCCAAGGGCTTGTGAATAACAGTTCCCAAAGGAATAACTCATCTGTCCCAATCTTGTATTTACTCATCAGATATCCAGCTTGCTGTTTAAATATACAGATATAGATATAAAGATATATAGATAGATATTCACCACAATAAGATAATGGGGGGGGGGAAACAAACCAAAAATCCAAACCTGGGGCTGCCCATGAGGCCTCACCTTGAGACATCTCAACCCTGTGGGGTCAGAATGGGGCTGGGGAGCGCAGGACAGAGGAGGAAGCTCTCAAGGAGAGGGGCCTTTAGCAGGTGCTGGAAAAGGAGGAAGGTGTCCCCCCCGGTGGAGGAAACAGCATGTACGGCAGCTCTGAGGAAAGTCCAGGACCGCTGGTCAGGACTCAGGACAGAGATCAAAGAGGGTGGGGGTTCCCATTGAGGTGCGCTAAGCATCCACTGTCTGAGGGCATCTTTGCATACTGGGGAGCATGCCTCCCAACTTCTCTCGGCTGAGGGGCCGATGGCAGGCTGATCAGGCGATAACAGGGAGGAAGCTGAAGCAATGCCTGCCCTACTTACCCGCCCTCCTGCACCCACAGTGCTTACAAATCTACGCCCCAGAGATGTCCCCAGACACCATCCTGGAGTGTGCAATGGGGGACCGTGGCACACAGCTCATGCACGTCAATGCCCAGCTGACGGATGCCTTGCAGCCGCCCCACCAGTATGTGCCCTGGGTCGTCGTCAATGGGGTAAGAGCCCTGTCGCTCTCGTGTGGGGCCAGGACCATGGAGATGAAAATGCCCACTGGGCTGGGAGGCAGCGGCCAAGCTGGGGCGCATTTGTAGTCCCTTTGGGACCAGGACCTCAGGAGCTCCATAGCATATTAGGCAGCCAGTTCAAATCCACCAGCTCCTCAGAGAAAGAAAATGGACTTAGCTCCTCCAGTAAAGGTTTACCACCTTGGGACTCAATAGAGAGCTGGTATAAATTAGATCCAACTCCAAGGCGGTGGATCTGGGAGTCAGGATCCAGGGTACATGAGTTGGGGCACTTGGAACTGTGCCTGTGACCTGTCTTGCTTTGTGCAGAAACCTATGGATGATCATGACCACCTTCTGAGCCTTGTCTGCCAGTTGTACCAGGTAAGCTGAGCAGAGGGCAGTGGGATTTGGTGGACGCATGGTGGGTCTCCTTCGAGGACATTAACTCACAGCCATCCTTTCCAGGGCGAGAAGCCAGATATCTGCCAAATTGGGCCCAGGCCTCCGAGGGAAGTCTGTTTCCAGTGACGGCCATGCGAATGGGCTGCCTCCATCTTTCTGATCCCCTGCTCTCAGAACCCGAATAACTCCTACATATCCCATGAAGCCCCGACTCAAAATCCCACTCCAGGGCAAGAATTACGCCCTTCTGAGAATGGTGCTCAACTGAAACTACGTAAATAAACTCTTCAGGAGGCTGTGAGTCATTTTGACAAGTCAGAAAACTCCCCCTTGGCCTGTGCTGTGCTGGGTCCCCTGAGAGGCCTCAGCCATGTATCTGGTCTCTGAGGAGCCCCTCGTCCAAGGATGTGGAGTCAGAGTTGGGCCAGCTAGAGGAACTCTGGTTGGGAGGAATTTAGGGGGGTAGGGAGGACTTTGCCTAAGGCACGGGGTCTTGAAGGGTGATGAGGAGTTCCTTGGGCAAAAAATATATGCACTAATTTAAAAATATTTCTAGTCATCCCCTTTGTGCTGAACCCATACCTGATATTAAGACCCTTGAAGCGCTTTTTTAAAATTTTTTAAAAATTTTATTGTTTTGTGTGTGTGTGTGTCATCAAATTGGATCTGACTGGTACAGGAGATTGCCCCTCCTTCTCCAGCAGAGAGAGCATCTGGAGGATTCGAACCACGTACCTCTGGGATTGCAGTGCAGCGAATCTCTTGTAGTCTGTAGTCATGATTAAGCCAGAGAGCAGTGGCTAGGGTTAGGGGATCTGAAAGTTAAACAATATGTTCACTGGGGAAGAAAAATCAAGGCATGTCAGCGAGGGGGCCAGTGTATATAAACCCAGGCAGGCAAAGACGGCAGGATGTGTCAGTAGTTAGATCGGTGCTGGAATGCCAGACCAGGACCAGGACGTGTGAGCATAAACATGTTAGAGAATGACCTCCACTGAAAGGTAAAATCCTAGGGGAGCTCTGGTGGCCTAGTGGCAAGAAGCTGCAACTACAATCCCAGAGGTGCACGGTTTGAATCCACTAGATGCTCTGCTGGGGAAGGAGGGGCAATCTCCTCCTGTACCAGTCAGATCTGATTTGATGGTACACGCACACAAAAATAATAAAATAAAATAAAAAAAAGAAAGGTAAAATCCTGCTGCTTATGCTAATGTCAACTGAATATGCATTTAAGATTGTATTGGATTTGTGGTTAATGAGGGAAAGTGATAAAATATTACACCCAGTTTAAAAGAGCAGAACTTCCCCTGTTGGACTTATGTACCATTGAATTGAAATTAGCTCACCCTCCAGCAGGTTTTCAGAGGCAGTTAATTGCTCAGGAGGACACTGCCTGCCTTTCTCACAAATACCAGGGTTCGAAACACCTGCCTTTCGGGTGGCAGCACAACTCCTTATCACTAAGCCAACAGAGCTCCCTGAACTTCCTCACAAGGTTTATTTTTGTTTTGCTTTTAACATTCATTGCAGATTTATTCTAACATTCAACTTAAGGGAAGTGTAAGGCCAAGACTCCAGGATTGGTCACATGCACCCCAGTCTGTCTTATCTAAGGGGTGTGTATGTGTGTGATTTGAATGAAGGTTTGCATTTAATAAGTTATATTCATTGTGCTCCACGCCACTGAGTTCAGTCCCACCTCTCTCATTTCCCTTTTCTGTCCCTTCCCCACTCCATCCTACTCTTTCCTGGATTCTGAACTTTGCCCTTGTTCAAATGCTTCCTCTTTGGTCTAGCATCACTCCATCTATTGTTTGCCTGAAAATTGAGCCATGGGGCTGGGCTCAGTTCCAGGCTTGAAGGGTAGCTTAGGGCCATAGTCCCAGGCTTGAAGGGTAGCTTAGGGCCATAGTCTTTGGAGTTCCACTGGTTTTATCAGACCCGTCATGCTGACCTATTTGACAATCTTGAGTTTTGATCTATGGTTTTTCTCCCACTTTCCCCAGGACCTTCTAAGGTGATCCTTTTTCACAGCAGTTGGTGGTGGTAGCTGGGCACCATCTACTTCTTCTAGTCTCAGGGTTCAGGAAAGCAGAGGTCTGAGTCATCCATTAGTCCTTTGAATTCATCCCCCTCCACCCGCCCTTGATTGTCTTCATTCTTTGCTCTGGATTAGGAGACCAATAGTTGTTCCTCACACTGAGTTTTCTTTACTGTTTGTTTCTTCCATTTTTTACTTGAGTGAAAGTTTGCAAATGGTATTGATTTTCCAAACACTCATTCCTAAACAGGGAGTTAATTACAATGATACCTTTGAGCTGTGGTGCTGGAGA